ATTTCTATCTCATTCTTGAGATGCTATTTTTATCATATGTTGCAGGCCTAAGGTCTACACCTATTCAACATAAATAGGCCTACATTTCCATCCATTCTACAGACCAGATTGATTTAGATTGATTCAGATTGATCAGATTGTCCAGTTTAGTCAATCTCATTCTATTATTCTATATAGTCATGTCTATCTAGTCAATTCATTCTATGGGTTTTACCCGATATCTATCTATCTATTATCTATCTTATCTCTTGATCAATTCCCCTGATCACATGCCTAAGGATATCTAGGCTATCAATACCCTAGATTTCCAACATAATCAAATAGAGAAATCCGGGCTTATAACTGTTAGAAATCTAAGGTATTGATAGCCTAGATATCCTTAGGCATGTGATCAGGGAAATTAATTAAGAGATAAGATAGATAATAAATAGATAGATATCAGGTAAAACCTATAGAATAAATTAACTAGATAGATATAACTATAGAATAATAGAATAAGATTGATTAAACTGCTTTAATCTGATCAATCTGAATCAATATAAATTAATCTGGTCTGTAGAATGGATGGAAATGTAGGCCTATTTATGTTGAATAGATATATTTTTAGTTCGGGTCACTTCGCGGGAACTTGAAGCTACATACATTGATTTTAGGCTCACCATTTCTGTTTACCACAGCATAACTCAGAAACCTAATTGGTGTAGTTTGTTAATGCTTGGCTGATGGACTCCAGTCTAACGTGTCGGTCTGATAAAGTAGACACTTGATATGATTGATGATCGGCAAGTTAAGTGGTAACCTCGTAACTACGGATTCTAGATTCAAGGGCGGTTAGGATCCACTAATGATTGAACACTATTGAGGTATACTAAGGTTCCTGGATCCACCATCATGCAGGTCAGGCTCAAATAATGGTACTAGCAATTACCCCCCTAGCGTGGGTATCAACTATTACGACCCTTTTTTTTGCACAGTGGGGAGGGACCACTATCACTTCGAAAGATATCTCCCGACGATGTTGCTAAGACAAGTGATAGTTTCGCAACGGGGGTGCCATAAGCTACCGCATCCTACGTAAAGCATCCATATAGATATCATTACCTCTAAATTGGAGCAGTTTTTCTTCGCAGCAATGTCCAGACATTCCACACGAGACCACCTAGCTTCCTCGGAGTCAGGGGGTGCAGACAAGAAAAATGGTAAAGATGAGTCTTCTACGACGGTGGTTGAAGACAAGTCATCACCACCCGAATTACCGTACACTGTCCTGTCGGAAAAGGACAAGATCTCTACGATTCTAATTGCTTCATTTGCTGGATTCCTTTCCCCAATATCTGCCAGCATTTACTTTCCGGCACTCAATACGCTTGCCGATCATCTCAATGTCTCCGCAACCGAAATCAACCTTAGCATCACGGTGTATATGGTACGTCTGATGTGTATATGCGTAGAGATATTCAAAAGTCTCTCTACCTAACAATCGTCTGCAACACAGATATTTCAAGCATTGGCTCCGACCTTAGTCGGAAGCTATTCAGATAACAGAGGCCGTCGGCCGGCCCTTCTTATCTGTTTTACAATCTATATAGGGGCCAATATAGGCCTCGCGTTGCAACACTCTTATCCCACTCTGATGATATTGCGCTGCCTTCAGAGCTCCGGGAGCAGCGGGACTCTCGTTATCAGCAGCGCCGTGACTGCTGATCTGGTGACTCGCGCGGAACGTGGAAAGTACCTGGCATACTCTTCCATGGGCGCCACAGCAGGGCAAGCCTTAGGTCCTGTGATTGGGGGTCTCATCATTCAATTTTCAAATGCGCAATCGATATTTTGGTTTCTTACTGCATTTGCAAGTTTCATGGTGGCAGTAGTGCTTCTATTTTTGCCAGAGACCAGTCGGCCAGTCGTTGGCAATGGGACAATATCACCACAAAAATGGAACCACCGTGTTCTAGACTTGGTATATCCACGACGGGCAGGACATAAACAGAAAGTCGCCGGTGGTGACACACGTCCGCCTTTAAAACGCCGCCCCAGCCCCTTGGAGACATTCAAAATCTGCGGTGAAAAAGAGACAGCGATCATCCTCCTCTTCATCGCCCTGCTATTCTGCGGATACGCTACGGCACTGAGTACGCTTCCCTCGCAGCTAGAAAGGAAATATGGCTTTAATTCCCTCCAAATCGGCCTTTGCTGCCTCCCGTACGCCTTCGGCAGCTTAACATCTCGTTGGACGGTCGGCTTTCTCACAGACTGGAACTTCCGACGCCATGCCCATCGCTTAGGTATTAAGATAGTAAAAAATCGGCAGACCGATCTTGCCGAACTCCCGGTAGAACTAGCCCGGCTTCAGATCACACTTCCGTTGGTCTGTATCTCTTCAGTCTTCATCGTCACGTATAGCTGGGTGATGGCATATGAGACTAATCTTTCCGGCCCGCTGATCATGTTGTGTCTTGCTGGGCATGCAATGTCTGGTGCGATCAATACACTTATCACTCTTCTTGTAGATTGCCACGTCCAAAGACCTGCCACTGCTATCGCTGCTAGTAATCTCTTTCGTTGTCTAATTGGCGCTGGAGCTGTGGCGGCTGCTACGCCACTTATCAATGCCATTGGAATCGGGTGGGCCGGGACGGTGTTAGCTCTTATATGGGTAATTCTTGCTCCTTTACTTTGGGCGGCTATGAAGCGGGGGCATGGGTGGAGGAGAGAAGAAAAGAGGAAGAGGGATGAGGGTGCGATATTGGGCAACGCATAAAAGTGACCAACGTATATATAACCGCTACAGGTATGCCATCACTCCTATGGGGCTTACCGAATTATAATACTGTGTGGACATCAGATGTGGAATGAAGAGTTGTACAGGTAGCGTAGATTCAAGAAAGCAAGGACGTTTTCTACTCCTACATTTCAACACAGTCCAGTGCTCTCCTCACAGCACCCAGAAGTTCATCCGTATCCTCCAGTCCAACACTTATTCTAACAATATGCTCAGGAACATCGAAACTGGCCGCCCACTCCAGCTCTCTAAAATGCGACAAAAGGGCATAAGGAATAGCCAGGGTAAAGTTCGTGCCCAGACTAGGTCCCTTGGCCACGGTCAAATTGTCATAGAATCGAATCGCGCTGACAGGATTGCGAAAGATGATGCTTATGAGAAATCCATAGCCTCCATCCTTCCGTTTACATCTCTCGTAGAGCTGTCTGGTAGGTACAAGTGATGGATAATTGACCCTTTCTACCGCTGGGTGGGCGTTGATGAGGTTTGCGATTGCCTCAGCGCTGTGACTGCATTTCCTAACCCGGGATACGACATCGATACAATTCTGTGCGAGTGTAATGGCGTCCAGTGGGAAATAGGTATCCTCCCATAGAGAAGCAAGGGCGTCACAAATAGAGCCATAGTAGGTGGACCGTGGGTTCACAATGACTCTAGAGCTGGTTAGAAGGGACGTCTATCTGGGCTGGTTTATTGCTTGAACTCACGACCCGCCCATAACATCAGAGGCACCACTGAAGATCTTGGTTAAGCTAGTCATAATAATGTCCACATATGGTAATACATCAACGTTAACGAAGGTGCCGATTGTTTCATCGCAAGCGATCACAAAATGATATCGATCAGCTAGGGTACGAAGTCGTGGTAGATCTAGGGATTTAAGCTGTGGATTGCTTGGGAATTCACAAAATAGAGCACTAATGCGCTCTCCACTTTCAAGGTATGCCTCCAGCTGGTCTAGTTCCTGCTTGGTCCCATGGCCGTGCAGTGTGAATTTTGTCCATCCTGTCAGTTCAATGCATTTGACGGTCTCGCAGTATGGAAATCTGTGAGATGGTCAGAGAAGAGGTCAAGCCTGCTCAGGGTGTAATTGACGAACCCATATACAACGATAGAGTCCTGTCCGCCGAGGCTCAAAAATCTCAGAGCCCTTGACACAGCGTAGATAGCGCTCAGGCCTTTTGGAAACAGAAACACATCATGAGCAGTTAATTGACCACCTTCGTCGGACGTTGCGAGCTCTGCAATAAATGAGCGGATGGACCTTTTCTCTTCTGCACCGGACTTTAGTTCTGGTGCAGCGCATGCCTGGCTATCTGAGATAAGGCATAGGTCGTGATTGGGAGTTCCATTCTCCATCACCTCCAAATAGTCTATTAGCGATAGTGCGTATTCAGCATGCCGACTGGAAATCCCATCTCCACTTTGTCGCCAAAATGCCATGGCCTCCGGCTGCAGGTCACTAGGGTAAATCACAGCTTCGAAATGCGCCCATTTCGCCTGTTCTACCGATAGGCCATCGGGTCGAAGCTCAGGCGCATGAAACGAAACTGTCCTGAGATTGCTTGGGGACGTCTTCTGATCCAAAAATCCCGCGCATCTCCCTGCAGATGCGACGGATGGGAAGATCATACAGTTTGCATCAGCTACCTTCAATCTCGATAATACTTCCTGACTCAGTCTCTGGATGATCTTGTGAATGTAAAAGCTATGTTAATGTTCAGCCGCCTGGTAAAGATATGACATGGCCCTTTTTTATTCTTACCGTGGATAACCACCTTTCACTTTGTCCACTACACCAGGCTCGCGACGAGACCATCCTACAACGTTATCCCACGTCGGCAAAGAGGCGCTCACTGCCTGTAGAGGGTATTAATTAGCTCCGGCCAAATAGTTTCACATCGAGAAAGGCAGGATCGGACCCCAAAAGACGATAGCAACGTACATGGGGAGTCAAAGGGGGCTGTAATTCACCCAAAGCCCACGTTTCTGGGGTTCGTTCAGGATAGTATGGAACCATTAGGAAATAAAATGGGTGAAAGGTTGCAACCTCTAGCTAGTTATTGACGGAATAGGTTGGTAAAAGAATCCTACTGGTTGAAGCAACACAATTTAATGGATTTCCGGAACTCATCTCTGCCATGGGTTCCACTTAAATTGAATATAATGGATGACACAACTCGCCGAGGGATGTCACAATTCAGCCACTAAAGAAGGACTGGGCTTGCATATCAGGTAGTAGCCTACGCGTCCGCTAAGGTGGCCTTAGACCTGAGAAGGTCTTACCTTGCCACCTGGACTGTTGATCAACTCATTCATCAAATACCTTACCCAACCCAAACATGAGGTTCGGGACTATGTTTTCTAATTCTGGAGGCCATGGGATGCAGACAACCTTAGCTGTAATTATGCAAGCATCCCGAGCTCCGTCACTCGATCTCGGCCCTCATTGATGGCACGCCAAGGGACAAACTACTGGTTTTGGAGGAGATGGCGCTGCCGATCTTGAAGGGTCATTTTAATTCAACTCGGGAAGTGTAGGAACTATCGATCTCCACGGATAGACCCACCGCGCTGAATCTCCAAGCCAAGTCCCAAGGATCTACTTCCCATTATCTAATGACTCGTCATAGCATAACCTATAGCTGAAAACAAATTAGACTAATCCAAGCTCCTATGTGCTGATTGCCTTCATCGGTTAGACATGTTACAAGTTGGATCCACATGGAGTGGGAGCTGAAGAATCTTTGAAGTTTAGGCTGCCATTTACTGTGGGGACCAGGGAAAAGTGACCGATCACGATAATCTGCATGGTATGTCACCTCCTGAGTGCGAGGGGTTTTATCCTGCTTTCTGGTAGTTGTTAGAAGGGCTTCTAACCTCCTAGCTCTGACAGCCCGCAATCACTGCACGACACACGGTTAGACAGCATGGCGACTGCCCCAATTGATGGACTTCCAGACAATGCTCTCTTCCAGCGACTATTATTCGTAGCGAACCACCGTCGTGCCGCACTCATCCATGATATAATTAATGGAGTCCACGCTTCGTACTACCAACTACTGCAAGATGTGGTCAATTACCGACAAAGGTTACGCGAGGTACTGCCCCAATCTCTTTTGACCGACACGGGCATACTTCGCGAGGACGATGTTTACATCTGTACGACAACCCGAGCAAGTTACGAGATGATTGTGGCCTTTTTTGCCATCTTGTCGATAGGTGCAGCAATCGTGCCTTTATGTAAGTCACACTACCTAGTAGTGAAATGCAACATACTGAATCATAACCCCCGGTTTGCTAGCTCCGACTCTCATGCCAGAAGAGGCGGTAGACCTTTACCAGAGGTACAGTGCAAAGTGTATCCTCACTCATCTCGACGCAGCCCAGCTTGCTGGAGATATTGAACAATATGCTCAGAGCAGAGGCATTCCAAAACCAATCGTCTTGTCAGTGTGTCTATCCACGCCGAGCGATGTTTCAGGGGGACGACAGCCTTTCATTGACCCCAACATTACTCTCCCCATAGATCGGCCGGTAATAGTCCTCTCTTCCTCAGGAACTACCGGTCCGCCAAAGGGGATCATTCATGCTTTGAGATATTTTACTGCGCAAGTAGGGCCACTTGGGTCAGAAGACACCTTAGTTCTGGCGCACCGCCCCATGCACTACGGAGCCAGTCTAAGCAGCGCAATCACATCCATCCTGAGAGGGATTCGGTTAGAGATTGTATGTCCTGGATCAGGTGCACATGTGATCTGGGAGCGGTTGCGACAGGGGGGAGTGACAAATCTGGCCGGTTCAGTGGGCTTTTGGGTCTCGTTAATGGAACACTTTCAACAGCACTTGGCTAATCTCCCCGCACAGGAGCTCCAGCCATATTTAGATGGTGCGAGAGGGCTTCGTGTGGCCAATTGTAGCGGGGCCATGGCAATGCCGAGCATCAAAACCTTCTGGAAGGAAATTCGGAGGCGTCCTCTTCAGGTGGTATGGGGAAGCAGTGAATCTTCTATTGGCCTGAAAACCTCTTCGGAGGTTGACACTACATACTTGGTAAGACTATATTCGTCCTCGCTCTCATGTTTATGAATCTTCTCTGAGTAAACCAGAATGCAATTGGACGCCCCGTTCCGGGCGTTACAGTCAAGCTCTCCGAAGGGGACCATGGCGAGATGAGAGTTAAGACTCCTACTATGTTCCTTCGGTAGGTCACACCGGGCCTCACTTTGTACTCCCCCTCACTATTCACAGGTATTGGGGCAACGAATCGGCAACTCAGGCTGCCTTTGATGAAGAAGGATTCTACAAAACCGGTGATCTCGTCTACCTTCATGGGAAAGACTATATCATCCAAGGCCGTGCCTCTACAGATAGTACTTCCCCTCCCATGTCGATGAAGCCCTTAAAATGCAGCTCATGCTGATAGGCAAACAGTCATCAACTGCAATAGCGCCAAGATCTATATCCTCACCGTGGAGACGGCGCTTTCGACGCTCCCTTATATTTCCGAAGCCTACGTGCTACCTGTAGCAGACCCAAAGACTGGCAGCAGGGTTGCTGCCTTGGTGCGCTGTCGCACTGGTCAAAAGCCGAAACTTACTCTCCAATCTTTAAGGAATGACCTCTCCTCCCCCTTGCCTGTATTCCAGCTGCCCACGGTGCTTCGTATCCTTGGTGAGGGAGAAGAAGTTCCGAGGACAGTCTCCGGGAAGGTGATCAGAGGCGCAGCCAAGGAACTATTTTTCCCACAGAAGGCGGACCCTTCCTTGGACGACCTTCCAAGTCAAGTGCAAGTCTGTGACTTCAGGCTAGACACAGATCTACGGCCGCGGAGAATGTGGGACAAGGGTGGCGTCCAATAAATCATTTAGTCTGTTCACTAAGCTTGGTCTGAGTTGACGCAGAGAGTAATCGGGCTACGTAAATTTACTAACTTGTCTAGTGGAGCCGCTTCAATCTTAACTCCACCTAGCTACCAAGGCAAGATGCATCGATCTACCCTTTGTACGTAATTCGATGTATCACTCGGATAGATAAACAACCCGAGACGGAAATTGATCGCCCATCTACGAACGGTGGATCGGGAACTATTGGAACCCTAGTATGGAAATGAGCTCCCAATAGATCACTACGAGTTGGTCTCTCATTAGTCGACTACTTTCATGCAAGAATAAAGTACTGTAAAATGATACCGCTAGTTTACTGACAACAAATACATTCACGCTGTATCATCCATCCTATGTCTATACATATATACCCGGATCATACTCAACGGCATGGGCAAACCCTCACTATTAACCAGAAAACCAATCATAAACATGGCAGCCGTCAAATCAAGATTCAACATCCCAGTCCCATCAACAGACCTACTATCTTACCTCTTCGATTCCTCGTGGAGTCCTACCCAAGGATGGCCAGCCGCTGAGCCGCTCATCCTATCGGCAAAGGGATCAGACGAACCATCGTGCACCTTCAACCAGCTGAAACAACTGGTCAAGTGCTTCGCAAGCGGGTTCCAACAGGGCGCCCGACCCGGCGCGCGAGTGGTGATCTACGGAACTCTGGACGTGTATCTTCCTGTTGTTCTATTCGGCGCGATCGGAGCTGGGGCTTGCTGCAACATCTGTCCCACATACCCGCTCGCAGAGACAGTCGCTCGTCTGGAGGCCGTCAACGCAGATTTCGTGTTTTTCGGTCCGCAGCACGTGGGTTGTGTACAGGCAGCGGCAGCAAAAGCGGGCGTCCCGACGGAGAATCTGTTCGTCCTTGATCAGTTCACGACGGGAGAGGCTGTGGCAGGGGGTGCTATTCGCCATTGGAGCTCTCTGCTTGATCTTACAAATGGACCGAACTTTGAGTGGAGGAGATTATCAGCTGAGGAGGCTAAGACCACTACAGCCTTGTTAACACATACATCGGGGTACGACGATCCCCAGCCCTATAATCGGAAGACCAAAAATACTGAAAGGAAACAGAACGACCGGACTCCCCAAACTAGCCGAAAGAACACATTACGGACTAATCGGCAACACAGAGCAGCTCCTATATCGCTACCACCTGAAAGAGCGGAGCAGGCATGAGGTCTTCTTCTGCACTTTTCTCTACGCCGGAATCGGGTTCATTCTCTACGGCCTTCTAATACCCCTGAAGGCCAGATACAAGTCCATCTATATGCCCGAGTACAATTTAGAAGAGTTCCTGCGTGCTGTTGAGATGTACAAACCGACATCACTGCATACTCCAAAACATATATTTCAGAGTCTCTTGAATAATGCTACGCACGCGGATTTTTCGAGCGTGACTAGCCTCCGAACAGGAGGCGCTATGATTCCCTACCGAGCATGCGAGGAGTGGACGCGGTGTCATCGATCTCCGTGTGAGGTTGTGTGCGGGATGACTGAGTTTGTTACCCGCTATTGCGTAGCTATAGGTTCAATGCGAGTGCTAACTGAAGCCAGGGGTGGGATACACTTCGCGTCAGATCCACGGGTCCCGGAGACGGACAATACAGTCGGAGAGCTTCTTCCCAATCTCGAGGCGAAGGTTGTTGACCAGAATGGTCAGCCACTGGCTAGGGGAGAATGTGGGGAGATTTGGATCCGGAATCCGTTTGCTATGAAGGGGTACCTGGATAAGATGGCTGAGACAAAAGCGCTATTTTCTCCAGATGGGTTTATTAAGACGGGGGATATTGGTATGGTGAATGTTCGGGGTCGGTGGTATGTCCTTGGGCGAATGAAGGTGAATTCCTCATAATTCTTCCGTACTAGCACCAGCGTTCAAACGGGGGTTAACCATGAAATTAGGATATGTTCAAGCGCAACGGAGCGCATGTAATGGCATCGGAAATCGAAGCAGCCATCGTAACTCATCCAGAGGTGCTTGAGGCCGTCGTTGTTCCTGTGAAGCTGTAAGAGCTCATTACCTCGCGTCTACATTTATGAACGATCGCTAACATGCGATGAACGAAGCCCGCAAGAGGAGGACGAGGAACCAGTTCCGCGTGGCTATATTGTCCGAAGACTAGGGTCCACGCTGACGATTGGCCAATTTATGCAGTGGATGTTCTGTGAACTGTCGGAAAAGCTGCGTCTTGAAGGTGGTGCCGAGTTTCTTGATGCTCTACCGGTATCCACTGTAAGTGACTGACTAGAGTAGCAGGGGTATACGGTATACTAATTCATTAACAGGGTGGAAAGATAGATCGCAATGGACTACGAGAGAAGGCTGCAAAGGAGATTTATGAGACCCAAGGAATACTACAAAGTGGTGAACAGGTCAGTCAGCTCTAGTGGTTGTTCGATGCTGAATGTATCCGTCGTGCGACAAGTAGTGAAAATGAGTAACACTGTAGTCTTGGAATCACGTCCAACTGGATCATTGAATAACTATCCCTACTTCTATTATATGCCCTACAGATCTGGTCAATAGAGAGCTGTACCATGTGGAAACATCGATTTCACATTTTCTATGATATAGAGTACAACTGAATATACACTTGGGGTCGTGCCTAAAGCAGCAGGTTGTTGAAGAACACAATACTCTCAAGAGAACAGAAAGTACATTAAAGCCACATATTATAGAGAGGCCTGAGCTTTTCTGGGGTATTCTGTTAGCTCTATAAAGCTCTTAGAGTACAACCAGAAGCTTCTTGGTTTGTTGTGAGAATTAATTAAGGGCAATGTAATCCCTTGAGATGCGAGAATCATGGAAAATGCCTGTTGATCGAATCTCCTTCCGCCTGCAAAACATTGGCGTTCTATTGGCGCAAAAAAAAGCGGCGTATGAGATTGGCCAATGATAGTCGGGAAAATGAAGGCGGGGGGTAAAATGAATTCCTCCCATTCCATACCTACGTTCTATCATCGCAACCCTAAAATTGAATATTATTCGACGTGGCATTTAGCCATCAATATGAGGTTGATGATCACCGAGACAGATATAATAAAGTTGAACTTGGGCAACGTACCGATGACCAAGCATCAGAGTGAGGGCCTAGGCAATGATACACCGAGGAACACGGGTTGTTTGCAGGGGTATATTCCCTTCGGGGAACAACGATGAACGCAAGAAGGGCTTCTCCTTTGTCCGTTCGATCGAGATCACAAGTAGTGTTACAGAGAAGGGTCAAGTGCTTATCGGGATGAGTTGTCAATAGCACCGCCTCATTTGGCGAACTGAACGCGTGATGGGATCTTAGGCGCTGATCTCTACCAGTCGTATTCTTCTTCGCCTCCGCTAATCATATTAACGATAAAGCTAAGGCTAGAAGGGTATCAGCCACAAGCGGCCCCTGCGTAATAATAAGAGTAACTGGCTCCGTCTGCTGCATGCGGGGGAGCCTCGATTGCTGACAATCACGCAGGATGAGAAGCTCACCTAAGTTGCACGCCACGCCAGAGGGCTGTCATTCCGGTGTTAATGAATGACGCGGTGATCGGCTCGCTTTGCGAGCAGTTTGTCACTCGGCTGAAAGATAACTACTCCTATAACTTCAATAGGCATCGATTCTTCCGCAACGGCACAGTGAAGAAAGTCTTCGAAAGCAATAAGCAGGACCTGCGAGAACTACTATGCCGCCTGTGCCAAGCGAATGGGATATCTCTTGACTTACTTCCAGACATTGAGCAAAGGACGTTGAAGGATCTGAGTATTGTTTTCGCAATATTGCTGTTCGCTCATGGGCGCCAGGAAGTGCGTGTCTTGCGACAATTCCTGGACCTCGTACTCCACACAGGAACCGACGATATCGCACCACTCCAGTTTACCGACGCAGACCTTCCCGTCTCCCTCACGACTGCGACCGCCACGTTCCCCCTGCGAGGTGCCGAGTTTTACCAGAAGCAATTTCGGTTCTGCGCTGTGACACTGATGAAACGCGAGGAGGTCATATACAAGAATGAACGATTCCAGTGTCCGCTGCCATATCTGGAGCAGACAAAAATTGGAGAAGGGACATTCGGTCAAGTGTGGAGAGTACGGATCGAACAGCAGCATATCCAGTCGCGATTCGACAGTACAGCGACTACGGAGGCCTTGGAGTACGCGCGCAAAGACTTCGAGCTAAACCGGGCTTTCGAGGAGGAACGAGAAGTTCTGAACAAGATTCTTGACCAACCGCGACGGCACAGAAATATAATGGTCGCGCTGGCAAGCTTGCAGTACGGAAGTACCTACAGTTTGTTTTTTCCGCTAGCTTCCTGCAATCTCTGGGAATATCTCAACGGTGTCGGTGCTGAGGACCGGCTTCCCCCGTCGACCTGGGAAGAGAAAGGCTCCATATATGGGCGAGGGGTAACGCTGGCTGGAGCACTGGCCTTTCTTCACCATGAGTTCCGAAACCAACGATTGGAGCTATATTCCTGTTATCATCTTGACCTCAAGCCCCATAACATTCTCGTCTTTAACGCATATACCGACTCAGAGACTTGGAAAATCACGGACTTTGGCCTGTCCCGGGTAAAGGGTAGGGGACTCGATGGAGATGAGGACGTCGAATTGGTGATGCCTATTCTAAGAAGAGCGCAGAAAAGAGCGAGGCATCTCCGGGAGCCGTCGACCATGAACCGACGTGGTGAAGGTACTTATCTTGCCCCGGAGTGCTCATTACCTAATGGTAGGGTCAGCTCCGCAAGCGATGTCTGGTCCTTTGGTTGCATCATTAGCTTAGTGATGACTTACATCGACTTCGGACATAGCGGCGTGGTGGCATTTGCGAGGGAACGGCGGCGACAGGACCACGGGGACTCATTTTATTTCATCAGGCATGGAAAGCCGAAACTATCATCGGTAATCGCTGGCTGGTTTGACAAGTTGAAAGGAAGGGCCCGAGCCAGCCCTTTCGCGATGGAACAAGAGGTCGTACGTCGCACGCTTGATTTCTTGCAGCAAGGTGTACTAAATCCAATTCGCGATCGGCGTGTTAGCTCTAAAGAGGTTGAGGATACCCTCACATCTATAGGTCACTTGTTCCACCGAAAGCCCTCGGAGGCGTCCCTTGTACCTCGGAGCCGATGGCCAAGATTTCGACGGCCCTCGATATCTCCAGCTTATACACCCCATTACAAACAGCTTCCCATTGAAACAAGCACTCCTATCCATGGGAGCGCATTTGCGCCCGGTGGTGACATCTTGGCATTCTATTCTCCCCATTGCATTCAAGTTTTCTTCCCCGATGAAATACTATCCGCGGTAGAACAGGCTCCCAGAGCGAAATTGATAACCGTGCCCAAAGCGTCGCTAGAATGTGTGGCAAGCAGCTCCAGGTTTCTGTGTGCCGGGCTTGCTACTCCACATTTTGAAGTATGGGTCGATCATACCACCTATCTCGAAACCATCAATGGCTAATCCTTCACAGTGTTTCTTCTACGAGATTGTTAATTCCCCTGAACCACCAGCAAACAGCATCGCGCCAGGCTTAAGGGTCTACTACCCACACATGGGATCTATCAAGAGGTCCGCTATGTCAGCAGATGGGCTCCTGACAGCGTTTGTCATAACTCGAAGTCCTGGAACGCCGGACTCTGATACCCTTTTATACCTTACCACGACCCAGAATCTGCTTGGCACAGCAAGCGAAGGGTATCATAATTGGCAGCCCCAGCGAAAAGGCTACAGGCTAACGAAATCTAGAAATAGCTCAATCCCGTCGAGTCGGTCAAACTCAGCAGCATCTTACCAAGACTCCGATAGTATCACCAGCGGCGGAAATATAATCTCAAGAGAATCGACGATTGGACCGGCGACACAGATCCGATCATTGACCTTCTCTAACGACAACCAATACTTGATTATGGTTGCTCAGCTGGACCACGGACATTTGTTAGTACGAGCATGGGACACGTTTAGTGGCATATCTTGCGCACATTTGAAGATAGGGTTCTCTGTATGTGCATACTGCTTTTATGGACGTGGTACCATGCGGCTGATTATGATCACCATCTACAAACAGGGCTCATCTTCTGTGGACGATGCTCTCTACACAGCATGTTGTGGGTTTAACCGTGAACCTCGCCTACTTATACTTTGTCAGGGGAAATATCTTCTGGTCATCAACTCCTGGCGTTGGGAGGGCGAGGTTCACACATTGCCTCACCATCCGGTCAACGTATTCGTTCGTGACGACGACGAGGCAATAGTGCTCCTCGGGGATAATGGCAGTGACCGACGGCTCCGAACATACACCTTGCCAATGCCCATCCCTACAAGCCCCAAGCCTATGCAAGTAGCGCTCAGCAATCTTAATTATTACAGACCAGCGCTAGATAGTGCTGTCCTCACAAGGACAACAAGTGGCCAGATTCAGTTGATAGTGGCTACTACCAAGGGCCAGCTCCTTGCTATAAAGGTCCCAGATGCGGCATGAAATCGTAATCGATATACCAACGTTCACACTTTCTTGTATATAACAGAGGGAAAACACCACGCTTACTTTGAAAACGAAGATATGCCCCGCCATATGGAAGGTTGTGCCTCGCAATGAGATCAAACGGAGAATTCGACCTTCTCTTTGACTTGTTTCGGGTGACGCTTTCTACGAACCCACCAGTATAGGACTGTTACCGCCGTGAGAGGTACTGCGCACACAACGAAGATCCAGAATTGCGGAGACACAACCAGCTTGTGAGTCACGGAATCCATTTCGAAGAAGGAATTCATACCGAGGAGTGTCTGTACATTGGGAACTTTGTCAGCGATACACCTCTTGGCTGCGCCAGATGAGGGCGAGGGGAGGAACAAGCTTACTGCCATGAAGGTAGATGGTAGATATATGAGCGTCACAACGGTGATAACGCGAACAGTTGTGGAGTCATCGACAGTGGATAAAGTCAGATCGAGCATATACTTGGTCTGTTCCTGGGACGTATGCGAATTCTTGAACGAAAAGGTATCTGTGACCAACTGAGACGTAATGGCAGCCCGACTTTGCAGAAATGCTGCATTCTGCGAATAGGCATCGGCGTGGCTCTTATAGTTATCGAGTAGATGTTTCATTTGTAGCCATTTCGGATGTTGTATATTATCAAACTCCCTTAATACCTGGTTCGTTTTACTCAAGGTCTGGAGTGTCTTATTAAAGGAACGAAAGATAGCCTGCAGCGGGAGACACCGAGACTCGACCGATCGCATGGAGGTGAGCATTTGGTGATTAATGCGCAGAGGGTCTTCAATGCGCTCTGGCATGGTTGTATTGGACTGAGCCCGAATATTAGCATTTTCTACTGCGAGTGATGCGATTGATCACCTACTACTGTCAATACTCTCGCCTCGTAGCACGCTAGAAAATCCCTCCAGTTTGGGAAAAATGTGGCGAATAGGATATTGTGGATAAGAAGCGGATGCGACTTTAACAGTGAACAATGATTAGGAGACAACAGCGCTTTCATTAAGCGTTGTTGGAAAAGACAGTCTTTGGTCGGGTTCATGAATATCCATGTGGAGTGTTTCGTGGTCAGATCGTATTTTTGATATACGCCCGTTTGACGTATGCTCCAGGACTCTGGTTTGTCGTTGCTGAATTTTTGGAAGGCATATTTGAAGATATAAGCGATCTCTAAGAATTGAATTATCAGCGTTTGGTTAAACAATATCTCTTGGGTGAGCGTCGTCGACGGACCTATGTTGCGATCGTTAGACGTGAAAGTGGGCGCGCCGCTAAAGGCTTCTTCAGAGGCCATGATCCTATCATAGAAGGATATTACAAGGTCGAGGAGTGGACTTGAAGCCCCAGTGTTACTTTGAATGTGTTCAAACATCTCCCTGGTCACATTCAATGGCCTCCAAGAATTGCCCTGACTAATGGATCTACTATGCCGTTAGATCCCAAGCTTGCCGATAGCTTGGCTTGCTTTGATTCTCTGAGACATACATAACCCGAAGTCCGCTTGGGTGCAGCTCTGCCCGACTTGTATATGATTGTATGTCGGCTGATGACCTCAATGCTCTCATCGTTGCTATTGATTGATTGTTAGTTTTAGTGACACTCCGCACCCTAAATATGTTGCACTGACCGCGGTGCTCTGCGTCAATATCTGTCCAGTCAACCTGTACATTTGATTCATCGTCCTTGAAACAATTGCGGTCGTGTGCTCTATACCAATAGTCGTCCTGGTACGGCATCAAGCTGAAAGGACTAAAGGGCTGAGGGATTGGTGTCTCGACATCTTGGGCCTGGGCAATCATTGCGATGGTAAACTAACTAATTACGGAATGAAGGGAAATGTGCAATCAAAAACCTCAATTAATACAATACAATAGCGTCTGACCTAAACAACGCCGAACATTTGGTGTTTATATTATGCTGGACAACAGCATGATGGAAGAAAAAACAGGTGCAGGAAGAAAAGCCCTCGCAACACGATAGCCAAGCGCCCTGCACCGCCAATCCTTGCTCAAAGAAGGCCAAGCGCTTCCTTTCAGCAATCACACCTCCGACTATCCACTGCCACACTACTCTGACCACTAAGAGTGAGTTCTGTCAATCAGACGCTTCCCTAGAAGCGATAACGTGTCCCTCAGTCAGCCACTCAGCACAGCCTTAGGCTCACTCAGGGGTTGGAGAATGCCTACTTGAGCTCTCTCTGCGCAAGGTCAGCTTGTGGAGCCAGCAAGGAAGCCTGGAAAGAGTGGAACTGAAGCTTACTGCGGTTACCTCCCGTGGTGCATCAAACGACCAGATTTCCTCGTCGCACTATGTCAGACCTAAAGTTACCAAAGAACATCGTAGGCGCATGGGAGATCTTCTTACTCGGATGTGGAAATCCAAATCTGGATGATCTGGGAAGAGCCGTTCCAAGAGGGCCTGTAGATTCGGTCGCTGGAGGTACCTGTTTGGCGCGATTTGACGCTGGGTCGGTGCTCGAGCGGAGGAATTCACCGTCGCTGGCTGGGAGAAATTACTTGCCCAGGAGCGTCTTTTTTTGAACATGATCGGTCTACTATTGCTGATAATACGACTAGCGAAGAATAGTGATACGATGGAAGGGTGCTTAAACGTCGTTGGAGTGGACGTGAAGAAGAATCCAATCCTTCGATTATCATTCCGGGAACATAACACCCTGTGGGCTACACGAGGCTGCGGACGGATTTAATGACGGGTGACTCTCTTGGGGCACTGCTAGTCATCGCGTATCATGGCCTTCCAGAATGGCCTCCGATTCGGCTTTCACCGGGACTGGAGGAAGTTTGCTACCAAGCCAGCGTCGTGGTTGGCGGCCATTCAAGCTGGCCAGAGTGCTTCATTGCAACACCAATCATTCTTCCCGAGGCTTATCGTTCTCCCCCGCAAAAGGTATACTCCTCAGCCTCGTGAGCAAGGCTTTCCCCTCCAATCTCGTATTCGAACATCAGTAGCGTCGCGCTATACTGCAGGGAACATCGGCCCTCATGCGTACTTCCCTCAAGTTCCTGGTCGAGGCTCTGTGGCTCGTGCTGCTACCTGTCCCCTTGGTATAGCCACATTAATCCCTCTGTACAAATAATGCTTCTTCCAACTCCAGGCTGAGTTCATGACAACATGGCTCCTCATGGCAGTGCAGACAATGATAGGCTGGATTTGGGCCAGATCGACTGGTTTCCGCAAACCCTTACGGTTCCGTCACCCGGGACATCAGAAGCGCGACGATCGGAGACGCATCTGCAGCCCTCACTGAGCTCGATTTCTTCCCGTCAACCAGAAAGTGTAATGGTGGTTGTCAATCCACACGATGGCGCAGGGTCCGATCAGATATTTATGGATGAGAAGGATCGCACCGTGAGGTAAGGGGAGAGGACCAAATACCGGTGAGCGACCAGAGTGTCTAGACAGTAATTGGCTAACTCGCCCCCCTCTTTGTTAGTCGACGTTTGCGCGGAATCCATGTGTTTGTGAGTAGCTGGCTCTAAAACCATAGGTTCCATCTACTGACAGTCTGCCCTCTCGTGTAGATGATCACCATTAGCGGAGTCCTCGGAGTTGGACTGTATCTTCGGAGTGGATCTATCCTGCGAATTGGTGGACCGGCGGCCGTTCTGATCTCCTTCACAGCCATGGGCTTATTGGCCTGGATGGTCATGCAATGCATCGGAGAGTTTCTCGCCCTCTGGCCCGTCTCTGGCGCCCTGGTAGAGTTTGTCGGCACTTTCGTGGATGAGGACCTGGGCACTACGGTCGGAATCGCATATTGGTTGGTCACGGATCCAGAATAGCTGTTTGATGGACCTTGGACGGCTGACAACAACCTCGGATAGGGTATCCTATTGCCTGAACTTTGCCGCGGTGATTGTTGCAGCTGCTGGTGAGGTTGAAATGTGGAACAGGAGCAAGGCAATACAGGGCACCGTCATTCTATTCTTGCTTCCGTTGTTTCTTATCCTGTTGAACAGCTTCGGCGTACATGTATGGTTGCGGGTATCCTAGGATGTTAAAACCCTTGTACTAACCACAACTAGATATATGGTCTGACAGAGGTAGTTGGGGGGTCTTTGAAGATACTCGGGACTCTTATTGTCACAGTGGGAATGATCGTGATCAATGCTGGAGGTAAATGCACGTGGCTCTAGAATACCCTAATCCTGACATTGCATAGGTGGAGCAGAAGGACATATTGGCACAAAGTGTAAGATACTGCATCTGCATTCTTTTCTTGCTCATGGTATTGATTGCTACATAGACTACAGAGAGAGCTCTATATTCCAGTATGATGAGAGAGCAGCTGGCAACTGGGCGACCGCGTTATTGTACGTGCTCCGCTACCCAGGATTGTCATGAGTGATGGCATACTGACGCCTTGTAGCATCTCACTCTCCATTGCAGCGTTCGCATTTATTGGAGTCGACATCACCGCTGCCACGGCCCTCGAGGCCCGTCCAGACAGAAAGCGAGTGCCAGCCGAAGACCCCTTGAACGACGAGCTTAAGCGGCCATGGCCCCTGATATCCGTTCGATTCTCCGCTACTTGGACCAGCTTTATCGCGTGGATCGCCTACTTCGTCGCGGGATTTGTCATGACCCTGAACCTACAATGGGACAATGATCAACTGCCGCAAGCAGGATGGCTCGGTCGTCCCAGCCCAAAGTCAGATAGTCCAAGCGACTCCGGCTTTGTGATTAGCGCCCAAAAATCGGGCATCAAAGGGCTCGCCGAACTATTCAATGCCATTTTGCTAATAACTGCTATTACATGCGCGAATACCAACTTGTACGTCGCATCTCGTACGCTCTTCGGACTGACGCGCAAGATATACGGAAAGCAATGGCGGTGGCTAGCATTCTTCGGGAAGACAAATAGTTACCAGGTCCCCGTACGGGCCATGTTTCTGTCCTGTTTCTTCCTGTGGGTCCCGTTTCTGTACCTGTCACCAAGAAACGGGCCGGGCACAACCATCGCGAGTGTGAGCTGAGCATTTCCTCCAAACACTCATCCTCTATCAGCTAGATGACTAACACGAACCCTAGCTTCTTGAGGTCCTATCACAACTAGGATCCGTTAGCTGTATTATCGTCTGGGCGTGCGAATGTTGGGCGTTTATTCGTTTCTATAACTGGTAAGCTGATCTCCACCTTTCTTGCCTACCACCGCTAACAATGTGTAGTATGAAGTTACACCAAGTTGAGCTAAACAATTCCCCCCAATTCGCGCACGTCTGCCGCTTCCGTCGCCCTGGCGCCCCAGACTATTACCCATGGCGCTCTCACGGGCAGCCCCTAACGATGTACCTAGCGTTAGCGGGGTGTCTATTTACTCTAATCGTTGCCGATAGTGCCGCTTTGTGGCATGGCTTTCATGCGCCGCTGTTTTTCTCCGCATATCTAGCGGTACGTACTGCTCACCCAATCCGTATACATGCAGGGGTCAACGCTAACCAAATTCCGTAACAGCCACTCTGCTTTCTCCCTCTGTGGCTTGCTATTAAGGCATATCGCTCCGGCGGTTGGCAGAATATCAGATGGGAACTTGAGGATCTGTCGAACATCATTGAGGTCAAAGATAAGATCAGGAAGCTTGACGAGCTGCAAGAACGTGCAACGGCGAGAGATAATGTTAGGCAGAAGCCTGGATGGGGAAATCTGTGGGGAGTGATATAACCCATCACGGCTCAGTAAACTTGAACTATGAGCGACCTGCTACTTTGTTCAATTGGTCAGAGACATTTGTCTGAGTCGCTTGGTGCAGGCTGTTGCTTCTGGTCGCTTGTCGATGGCTCCATGGTGCCCATTTATGATACTTTATGTAATGTTAACGATGTATGGGTAGTGTAATATGGTTCTTTATTATATTCGGAGCTTTTCAAACTCTAGAAGCTAGTCCTCCATTAGTAGTGTGGAACCTATCCACAACAGGCCATTGCCTCTCTTAGTCACGTTGTAGGATGTCCAAGCTGCAAGCTAAACCAACTAAGCTGTACTCGAACCATGCAGCCTACTCTATAAAGTGATTGTAGCGTAGCGTCTTCATACAGCGGATGAATGTGACACTAATAGGCAGTCCCAGGTAGAGGTCCATGATTGCCTGAGGCTTACAGACGCTGCGGCGTGGTTTACTACAAGGGGACAGCAACACATCACATAAGTGCTTTACCAATTAGCTTCTCTAGATTCCTTCATTCTCCTAAGCTGCTAAGCTCTATCCCATATTCATAATGAAGGTCCTTTACCAGTCTGTTTTCCGCGGGGAACTTATCCCTTCTCTTCGCGACAAATGTATTGCCGCACATGCTCCTTGTTAAATGCGTCTCTGATCCCCACGAGCCTACTCCTAGCACATGTTCCGTTATCCTACAAAAGCTGGAGGTTCACTATGTACACACTCCGGGATACTGTGTGTTATCTGGTCCCGAAGTCTACTACCAAAAGAACGAAGAGTGTGAGGCAGTCGCGATTTCTAAGCCGTTATGTCCTTTCATGCACTCCAAGAATGAAGGAGGTAATGACATGATGCCTGAGCCTGTTTCTTATTCACCACCGCCTGCTCTTTGTGTATTTGTTAATAAGGTGGCTGGTGAAAACGATGTGGTCCAGTACCGAGTGAACCCCAATGGACGGTACGCGTTCCTGTCCCTTTCGATTCTGTGGAGTCCCAGGACGGCCATGCTGACTGGGAGCCGGTTGCTCAGAGATGTTCCAATGTACTTCTTTGGTAGTCGATGCCTGTTTTGTGCTTCGAAAGGCTGATTCTGTCCTGGGTGTAGTATCGCACGACTATTCATTCCCGGGCCTCTGCGGTAGCTGCTATCTGGACTAGCCCTGCCTAGCGTGTCTGGGCTATGATTTTGCTCCTAAAGATAACCCAGACTTGAAAAGATAGTGTAGATCGTGTACTATTCTCCACGTACAGCAGAATCAGCAGCAGACAAAGAGAAGATTAAAGCGGATTTCATCGCCAAAGTCCGCCTTAGATACAAACCTATCAATATCAGGAGACAGGAAATGGGATATCCTTTAGCGGATCTGAATAGGTTGTAAAGGCTTGGCTGGAGGCTAGAGAGCTGTAAAGAAAGCTAAGTCCTCTATTCGTCATTCTTGTCGACAGTGATTTCTTTGACGAAGCATCACGGTGGTTAAGGACGGCGACTTTGCTGCGGTTTGTTGGAATTAGGGTGATGGGAGGAGGAAATCAATGTTTACCGCATAATCTTTATTTTTTTTTCTAGGCCGGTTCTCTCGTTGATTTTTATGGCTTTATGTTGTTAGCCGTCGTTTTAGTCCAGTTAGATTTGGTTAACTTTTTTGGGCCTCTTCGTAGAGTACTTTGAGTATCGCTAGTGCGTCTAATTGATAAATGGACAAGAAATAATAGCAGCGCATTCGAGGACCACTATAACGTTATGTTTCAGTATAGTATCCGTTGTACTGTTTTGCATATTATGTAGCCCTTCTTCCAAGTTCGTTTGAAATATGTCTACCCCAACCTCAAGGGACGTAACCGCCGCTAAGAAAAGGCAGACAGAAACCCTACGATTGCTTGGCCAAAGCATACGATTCCACCATTCACACGTGTATTCCTCGATCCTTGGCTGATCCATAGCAGATACTAAGAACGTGCACATGCATTTGTTGGCCTTTAGCGCGGTCTCATGCATATTCGATCTTCTATCCGCATCATGATCTACCAATCAGTTGATGCGAACACTACCCGGGGCTGCAGCGGCACGAACACGTCAATCACTACCGGCAAACCCCGCAAGACATTGAGCAGCACGAGCTGGTCACTTTCACCTTGTTGGCATGCATCAGGATCCAAATGACGAGGCCCAGCCATACCACTTTGCTTGACCGCCGTGATTGGGTCCGTATATCTATCTGCACCATCTCTCGATTATGGTAGGTATCAACATACTCTTCGCAATGGTATTAGATATGTCTTTAGTAGCTCTTGGACTCCTTGTCCTGGTTGTGCAGAGTGCTGGTAGCAAACATTGCAAGTGTGTCGGTGTCCCCCAGTCGTCTGTATGACCTGTGAATAGTTTACTGAGTGGCGACTGCCGACAGGCACCCGATGAGGAATGCTGGCCATCCTTAACCGACTGGGCCAAGCTGAATGACGCTGTTTCCGGCAGATTAATTCGAAATACCCCCGTTGCTGAGCCATGTTCTTATGGTGACGATGACGGTCGGAAGCTATGTCAGAGCATAGTCGATCAGTGGTCCAATTCGACGTTCCAATCCCTCCAGCCAAGTGGATATTGCTACCCTCTTGATTATGCATGCCCTATTGTCCCTGTACCAAAAGACACACTGAACAGTGATTGCCATCTCGGCCCAGCGCCAGTGTATACAATAAATGCAACCGAACCGGAAGATGTAGCGGAGGGAATCCACTTTGCCAAAGAACATAATCTGAGGGTGGTGATCAAGAACACCGGTCACGACCTACTAGCAAGGTATGTCTCTGGGCCATAGTGAGGTAGTGTATTGGCTGATGGTCCTTTCAAACCAGATCGCAAGGATACGGTAGCCTCCAAATATGGGTCAAGTACATTCACGACGGGATTGAATACCATGAAGCGTACCAGGCCGCGGGCCAGTGCGAATCCACCAATTGGGCCGGCAGCGCTTTCACCGTTCGAGGAGGCTACCTGTGGGGCGATCTCTACGCGGAAGCATTTGAACGAAACCTGGTAGTAGTTGGTGGTCAGGATCCGGTAGGTGATCCCACATCTTACTTACATCCCGCATAACTGATAGGCTCTATGAAGACGGTCGGTGTCATAGGCGGTTACCTCCAGGGCGGCGGGCATTCACCAGCAAGTCGTGATTTTGGGCTCGCCGTCGACCAGGCTTTGGAATTCAACGTTGTCCTAGCATCTGGGGAGCTCGTCACGGCTAGTGCCTGCGAGAATAGAGATCTGTTCTTTGCCTTGCGTGGAGGAGGTGGTGGCACTTACGGGGTAGTAGTTTCCGCTACCCTGAAGGCTCACCCATCGCGCCCGGTCGTCACACATTCCCTCGTTGTCTACCCATTACCCAATCGGAAAGATCCTCTGGCAGCAACTATGGCCTTGATTGACGTTGTTGCGGAAATTATGTCCGCATATCCTGCTTTATCCGACGGGGGCTTTTCAGGGTACGGCGGATGGGGTGTGGAGAAGGTCGATTCCCCCATTGCTGGATCCCCACTACCGGTCAGGGAGAATGGAGGCTACTCTCACGTTTTCGCAAAGCTAGACAGTGGCGATGACGCCTTAGAGCGAGCGCAGTCATTTATGTCGGCGACTCTCATGCAGCGTTTGCGAAAGTACAATTACTCCGAACTTATGGTCTCCGAATCCTGGGAGCAATATCCTACATTCGGAGACTACTACATGGCAGCCACAAGAGCCGAGCAGCAAGTTGGATACAGCAAGATGGCTATCACGTCACGTCTTCTTGACAAGGCTGCGTTGACGGGCGACATAGCACAGCTGAAGGAGATGCTACGTATCACCTCAACAAATTCCCCCGATGCGCCCGAGAAGGCAACGATATGGACTATGCTATTCCTTGTGGGTGGGGGCAAAGTCCTTGAGGACCCCACGGCTCCCTCGACAGATCGTTATGTCGGGGTTCATCCGGTTTGGAGAAGGTCCTACCTTCTCGCTATCCCGACGTCTATATTGCCTGAGGATGCCAGCGACTGGTCCCTTAAGAAGATGCAAGTTGATACAACGTATCGGAAAACCGATGCGATGAGGCGGCTGGCACCCAATACGGGTAGCTATCTGAACGACGGCGACAGACACAGTCCTTGGTGGCAAACTGACTTCTTTGGAGATAACTACCCTCGACTCAGAGCGATTAAGGACGAATACGATCCGGAACATGTATTCTACTGTCCCACCTGTGTCGGAAGTGAAGAGTGGAGGGAGGTGCCGCTGGAAGGCAAGGTCTATGGTTCCCTGTGTAAGGTGTGAAGATAGTGCTCGCTGGTTGTAGTATATTGTGCGTGCTGTATGATCAGCGAAGGATTGTGAATACTCGAGACTGTCCAACTCAGGTTCTGCTTACAGACTGAGCCATCTTTGTGATGAGCATTTGTCCTTTTCCTGTATATATCTATACCCAATCGCACTTTTTCCGACGGGTCCCAGAGCCGGCAAAGACTCGTAACCACCAACACCACGTACAGCCCAGCATATACAAAGTGCGGACAGCGATAGTCGTATTTGTGTGAGATGTTAATTGATGTCATTGAGTGGTGGTGCTTTAAAGTGTGGAACGTCCGGTATGACCTTGTTCCTTAGATCCGGGAATACGGCTGAATCGAAACGTTCCATGCCTACCTCATCCACGATTAACGACTTCCATACAAAGATCAGGCTTCCTGTAGGTCAAGGCCAAACGGTAACTTGGCATATAAAAACCTAAGAAGTATGCCGAGAGAGAGCGGGAAGAACAGATGTTCTTCGCATCAGGAAGTAATGTCTGCGTGAGCGACACCTTCCCGGAATCTATTCTATATCATCACTCAGGGTATGTGCCTGCTCGATTGCGAATTACGGGCTACTCGGCGGATGGTTACACTCTATGCCTCAGAGTGAGTAAAGGTCCTGCTTAGTGACTGGGAACCGTTCCTTCTCAAAGGGAGCCCTCCCGCCATATGCACTTTACCTTCGAAGCCCTACCCCCCAAACCAGATAGATACTCATCCTTCTTCTACAGCGATATTCCGCGCTAGCAACCACAAATTACCATCGGCCTTTACACAACATACACATAATGGCAGATAATACAATCAGCAATCCACAGAGCCAGGACGCGGTACGCAGTACCCGCAAGGACACCCCGACCCCCGGAACAAAACCATCCTTCATCCCACGAAAAGTAGTAATCTACTATCAAACCATGACCGTCTCCCTCAGAGACCTCGCCGTCGCCTATCTCGTCCAAAAATGGCTCCAAATGGAGGTCATCACTCACCTTATCGTCGGCTGTTTCCACCTAGGCAGAGAGGGCTACATGCACCTCAACGACCACACTCCAGACCACGAGACCTTCAAAGTACTATGGCAAGACGTCCAGGTGCTTCAGCAGCGAGGACTCAAAGTGATGGCCATGCTCGGCGGAGCATGTCCGGGTAGTTTCTCGTGCCTGGACGATGACGACCACTTCCAAGAGTGCTACAAGACCCTGTATGACATGATAGTCAAGTACGGCTTCGACGGGATCGATCTCGACGTCGAAGAACCGATGTCGCAAGATGGAATTGGCCGACTGATCGATCGACTTCGGGCGGACTTTGGGCCGGAGTTCATCATCACGCTGGCGCCCGTTGCGACGGCTTTGCAGGGCCAGGCCCATTTGTCCGGGTTCAGTTACCTTGAGCTTGAACGTGGGCGTGCTGACAAGATTAATTGGTACAATACACAGTTTTATAATGGGTGGGGGAGTATTGAGACTACCGAGGACTATGAGAAAATCATGGAGATGGGGTGGGAACCGTCTCGTGTCATTCCAACTTTGTTGACCCATTCGAGCAACGGAACTGGGGGTTACGTACAGTTTGACAGGCTGAAGGTGATATTGACGGAGCTGCGGCTCACATATGTTCGATTTGGAGGTGTGGCCGGGTGGGAATATTTCAATTCGGATCCTAGTGGACAAGATGCCCCGTATCACTGGAGCGTGCTCGTTGGAAGGGCACTTGGGTTGATTCCGGATATTACTGAGGGCCCATTCCGGAGTGGTCTATTCTCTCGCGATTTCTACAGAGAAATATGCTCGTTTTCGGGCTGTATTGCGTAGGGTCTGACTGAGCAACATTCGTACCAGCGAATACCTTCGTTTAAATGTATATTTACAAGACTATAGCAGTGAACAATATATATACAAGGCCGTTAGGCCGGCAGCTTCTTCATCTCCTGTAGCCCTATGTCATGCGGGTCATCAGGGTATTCAGCAGACGATTTAGAATGCACAGCCTAGGCCAGCTTGACTGCACTCCACGAAGCTCGTCTCGACCGCTGTGCCGAGTCTGACTTCCGAATTGTACTCCTGCTGAAAGCAGTCTTGGTTCCACGCGCAGCACCCCCCGACTGGGTTGGCCCGATCCCAGTACGCGTGTAGCGGTTTGCATGATCCGAAGATGACTACCATGAAGGCGATACTGTTGCCGACGACGGAGTATATCCTGACCCACGTGGAGATCATGAAGACGCGCGATATTGACCGGAAGCCTTTTCGGCGGTAGAACAGGAGGACTGAGATTTGGACGAGCCCCGGACCCGATCACATAGAGCATCTCCATTAAGAGGGCGATCTTGCGTTGCGCTAGTAGGTCAAGGGGGGAGGGGGTTGTCCCATGTATGCAGGTTTGCGCCGTATACTTCTGAGGCTAGGTTGGTTAGGTCCTGGTTCTTATGTGGACTTTGGTTTGTGGAACGGGCTCACTCAAGATAAATACAATGGCTAGTCCGATGACGGGAATCTATGAATCTATATAGTTAGTGTTTAGGTGGTGATATTCCTATTATCAATGCAACATACTATAGACAGCGCAGTAAACAGATCATCCCAGTCAGCTCGTCGTCGAATAAGACATCCCGCCCAAAGTCTGACAACCGACAGTGAGTAGCGCAATACCACCGAAGAATCCAGCCAAGATAATGCTCGCCAGTCCATGTTATTGGGGATCCGTTCTACTCGGCGCGGCCCACGACGCCATTACTTCAGGCGGCGTACGCCCCCCGGGCATCGTGGTCAATGTGAGAGGAAATCGTCAAGCCTGAGCTATTCTTCACGGACTTATTTTAGCTTATTGCCAAGCTTCTTTACATGTCCGTGAAAACTCATTATAGCATATATATCCACTGATATAAATACACCGAACAAGTACAGAATGTTTCTAAAAATACCTTTTTCAAAGCATATATCTGAACATTGGCGACCGATCGCCCATCTTCTCCATCTCAACCTCATCATACGCCGAAACGTCCATCCGATCTCGTTTCTTGTTGACCATCTGATACGACAAACGCAGAATCACCACAGCGATCATACCCACGACACAGAAACCCAGTTCTAGAGCATGACCTAATATGTAGTTTGGGGCGTCCTGGGCGCGGTAGAAGTTGGATGCCATGGCTAGACAGGTTAGTGTTCATCCTTGATTGTCTCCAAAGGAAATAGAGGGAGATATTGGTTAGACTTACCGCCGGCCAGATTACCTAGACCGATTTGAATGGCCATTCCCGAAGCACGCTTGTAGTCGCCAGCTAGGTTGGCACTGAGCCATGTGATGTTTCCTGGGAAGGCAGGATATATGCCTATCTCTGTTAGAGCGGTTATTATGAATTGGCAGAGGGGAATATATACCGACAACTGAGACAAATACACCAAAGTATACTACGCCCGGCACGCCTCTCCCAGTCGATGCAAGGACGATGATAAATCCGATGGCGATCAAACCCATAAAGAAGAGGATGAATGGTGATCGTTGTTTGCGACGATCCGATAGCCAGGCAGCAACGACGGCGACTACTGCTGCCGTGATGTAGATTGGCACCGTGAGCAATTGGGCGGTCGATGACGTATATCCCAGGTCCTTGATGATTGACGGAAGGAAGAATGAGATGCCGTACAGAGGACATGTGATGCCCCAGTATACTAACTTGAATTAATATTGGTAGGTAGACAGACGGAGGACGGACATACCGAACAAGGACACGTAAATCTGCCAGTCGAGTAAGGCGTCAATCACATATTGCATGCGAAACTCGCTGGATTCAGCGGCAGCGCCTCCTGTGCTTTGGGTGCGCAGCATGTGGATCACATACTTCCGCTCTTCGTCAGTTAAGAACTTGGCGGTTTCGGGGAAGTCATGGATGGCGAAGGGTGCGAAACAGGCTACGACTACGGTGAGGAGGCCTTCGAGGATGAAGATCCACCGCCAGCCTGCGTAGCCGCCAACCCCATCCATTTTCTATTGTATATATTAGTGAGGCTTTCCGGGTGGCAATGTAGATATACATACTGCAATAGCGTACGCTAAAACACCCGAGAACGCGCCGGCAATACTGGCCGCGCTGAAGAACATGGCTTGTCGGTACTGAGCCCGGTGTCGTGGGTACCAAAGTGTAATATAGTAGGCAGCACCGGGATAGAGACCAGCCTCTAAGAAGTAGACATTGTTAGTTTTTGCAGCTCTAGGATCCCATAAATAGCTCATGGCGATGTCCTCACCAGCAACGCCAAGAAAGATACGCGCTGTTAACAACCCTGCATAGTTTTGAACAATGCCCATCAAGGTCTATTAAGTGAACTGTTAGTGGATTTAGAGTGATCATCATGCACTTCGAAGAGGATATACCATCACGATTCCCCAAGCGACCATGAGGAATGGTAACCACCTTGATGGCTTTAACTTTTTCAATACCAGATTACTGGGTAGCTCAAACGCGCAGTAAGTGAAGAAAAACACCGTCACTGCAAGATACATTGTGAGTTACACTTCCCGCAATTCATGGATAGAGATAACACCTACAACACCAACTATATTGGGGTCCCGTCATATGAAGATCATCCAAAAGTCCCTCAATCTTTGCGTTTCCAATATTGCCTCGGTCCAAAAATGCGAGGAGATATAATATTGCCAGCATTGGAATGATGCGAAGATCCATCTTGCGGAGGACCTGATTCTCCATCTCGGGGCTGTATGACGGGAACGGCGATTCTTGAGCCCGCTTTTCATCGACGGCTTCGACCGAACTGTTGGCTACATATTCAAGCTCTATGCTCGATGGCTTCTCGGGATCGTGCTCGGTTCCGTCGTACATGTTGAAAGATACTGTTAAGATCGGAGCACAGAACTCTTGCAGCTTAAAATGGCGGACTCATCGTGCGCAAATACGCAAGGGGCGCGGGGAGTTTATAATCAGATCTTGACCGATAGCCCAGCCGCCACCTCGGAACGTGGGGTTAAGCCCCTCGCGCAGCCAAGCCTGTCCTTCTTATCGTCCAATTGGAAATCCTCCTGGGCGAGCAGGAATCTCGAGATGTGTCATTGTCATCATTGTACTCGGGACCCTGTGACCACTGCGGAGTTAAGAAACTGGCGATCGGCCTCATCATTCTTTGATGGGGTTGAGAAAGTGCCAGATTTAAGAGGGTTAGGAATGCCCCAGTTATAACCCCAAGTTGCCCCGGATTGCGGCATTGGCCAATCGCGTCGTGCGGGGTACCCCGGCTACGTGGAGAGAGACTTGCGTCTAGACTCTCTTTGGTGTCGCCATGTCGGCACTACCGCGGGGGTCTGGATCCAAAGACCGAGACGGAGTTAGCCCATCGTGCTGGGAACGAAATCGGTTGGTCAGTAGCCAACCCCGTTGACGCGCTTTTCCTTGGCATTTGTTGACTTACGAGGCCTCATTGTGGCGTCTCTGCGTTAAAACAATGGAACTTGATAAGGATAGATATACCGCGCAGAGGTGTCTCTTTGTTCAATCCCTTGGAGAAATTGTGAAGTCTTGTCCGAACTGAGGAGAGTAGATAGCCATAATGGGTATCCGTTCCACCTGATGGGCTGTTTCTCATCTTCCATGTCTGACTCCGAGGATCCACATTGTAATCCATCAAGTCCCCATTGGGGCTGATAAGGGATCTCCAACACAAGCGTCACATTTTTGGGCTGTCCAGTATTCTTTAGATGCCTCTAGGTAGGCTAACCCGGGCGCGCTGACTCTTCAACACCCTAGAGCTTTCAGATTACGTCTGCTCTCCCATGTCGCCATAACCCTATTCAATGTCAAGTATTGCGGGCCCTTAAAGTTACGACTGGAATAATTAATGTATCCATTGGTCAGGTTTGCTTTCCCCTCCTGATGAAGAAGCGAAGATTAGCCGGCATTGTTAGGCAGTGGGTAGGCAAATTTTGGTAGCAAATATCGCACGTAGTGGAATGGAGGAACTTGTACTTTACCTTCGAATATAAGAAGCCGGCAAGTGTATCAGAACTAATACACCTGAGGCAAATCCAACGACCGAACCAGGCCTCATCAGTTATCAGCTGATAGGGTTCTCTCGGCTTAAGCCCAATAACCTGACGGCGATCTATGGGAGAATTGTCCCATGCATCAGATGGGCTTGTTCACCAGTCTGTGGATATACACCAGGGGCTTACAAAGTTGCACACTTTTCTACAGTAACGACGCTCCAGGCCGCATCAGGAAATCCTTGTGCAGATACGCTGAATTACATCCCTGGGATTAGTTTTAGTCACCGAACCAAAGACACTGGTATCCCTCAATTTTGGCGTGATTAAGCGACGGCAAAAGTGACTCGCTACGTTGCATCCGACAGCAAAAGAAGATTTGCCGTGGAGGAGCTGTCGTTTCCCTAAAGGCTCGATGCCTTGTTCAGGGTATTAAGGATGTCGGTCGATAGGTGGACAAGACCGGATGGTTATTGGATCAGGGTTTGGTGCAGACAATGCCTACCAAGCGCCCGCGATTAGCGCAAACATAATAGACAAGCTCCGACCTATCATGTTGTTCAGCCATGCTTCGGCGGTCCGTGGATGCATTTCGCATAAACAGTGCGATGCTGTCTGCATCTTTCGAGCTGTCAAGTCAACTATGTATCAGTCGTCATCTAGCGCCAGACCTCTCGACGGTAGAATGCATGGCGTGGGTAAACTGCGACTCACATACGAAGAAAGCCCTTCGATTAGCTCTCCAATGCCCAGGTGATCTTCCATGATTTGCTAGTGCGCAATTGCTTTGGGTCTTAACTCTGGTGGCTCTCTTTGTTACGCGGTATGAATAATAACATTCTTCATGTGATAGCTTGTCTCTATCTTCCTAAGCCCTGATACCAGCTGAACAGTTAGCGAATAAACGCGATGATAGACAGCCAGGAAGACCAATGACATAGGAATGATCAATATCTTGCGTGTGGACGGCAGGCCAACCTTTGCACACGTGATTCCGTCTCAGCAATTATACATCGTAGTCGCTCGCAACCCACAGGCGGAGAAGGTTGTGTCACTTTCATCATTTACAGCGGCATTGAAGTTCATAGTAACTGACGCATCCGCAGGAACTGCTTTCCTATTGTTAGGGGCCATGACTGGCCGGATCTGGCCCAGTCCATCGAGAGTTCTTTCGCGAGGGTGTTAACGAGAGCCCGGGGGGGGGGGGGGGGGGGGGGGGGGGGGGGGGGAGGGGGGAGGGGTGGCAGCATAGTCTGAGCCTGGGGTGCACGACAGGGGTCGCTGCAAGGCTGAAGGTGCAGAGATTTCGCGTTAGGCGAGCATCAGGAAGAACTGTCGTTGGTCTATCGCCTGCCGCGGCCAAGGGACGTCAAGGCTACTGTGGCAAGGTGGTGGAAGAACACAGCAGGGCAACGGGAAGGATCAGGATCAGGTCTCATCCCGTATGCAACGATCCTCCAGTGGCTCGGGGCCTGACGAATAAGGTGGTCAGCTTAGCGATCTCGCGAGAGACACTACTGCGAGTCCTGTGGCAAATCAGTTCCTGAATGTACCAGTTCCTGTGAAGGGCGAACCCGGAGCGGACACACTGGAAGGATTCAGCAGCGGACGCGATGGTGGACACGGCGGACAAAGGGTGTGGACACCTTTGCAGCAAGCTAGAAAGATGATGTACAGGGTAGGTGGAACTGGTTGTGCGTGGCAAGATCCATCCATTTTCTCCATTGGATGTGCAAAATATGTTCATGAAACAGGGGGCACGTGCTCACAGGATGACTTGATAGAAATTCCATTCCAAACATCAGCGACCTTTCTCGTGAGCACGTGGGGTGGGTTGAACTCCAGTGGTATGACCTGACAGGTATCTTAAAATAATTTAAGCTAAACATTTATTAACCATTCTTTGTGGTTAAAAGAGAATAATATCCTGTTCATAGTAGCCTTATAAATTTCTATAAATCTGACGCCATCACTACCCATATTGCTGGTATCCAGTATATATTATCCCCAGGGGTACTTTGTACAGTTTAATGTAGATCTATTAGTATTATATTGTTAGTTAAATACAGCGTATTCTACTCTCAGATCTAGAAGTGTGACATTCCATGTTCGATCCGGTATAATTCCGGAAGCGTGCAAAGTAGGTGAATGTAGTACCGCCGAGCCCTGCAACCAATGGCACTGGAAGGCTTAAATAAATCACGCATGGGAGGGAGACTTGGCAACACAGCGCATGGACCAAGCGGGGACTCCGTCCTGAGCTCGTGGGAGCTGCGCCCCCACTGATTGGCTGAGTGACGGTCTGATGCCAAGCCCCGTCCCCGGAAGAGCCATATCAGCAAAACGACCACCCAGCATATAAAGATGTCTCGATGCCTCTGCCAAGGGCGCCAAGTACGCCGGTGGTTGCTGAAGCTCTGGTTGATGTCAAGCCACGGGCGTAATTGAAGTGTGTGACAATGGCTACGAATCAGATACCGGGAGCGAGGAACGTGTCCGGGAGAAGACCGCAGTCGAGATGCAATGCTACCGTCATGCGGTGGAAAAGGAGAGCTCGTATTGCAGGGCGGACGCTCCAAAAAAATGTCACAGAAGGATGCATATCCTTCGGGGGAGGGCAATCTCTCTAGGGTGTAGGTCCGAGGGCTATAGGGCGCCGAGGAAAAAAGAAAGGAAATGGACTAATGTTCGTGGAATACCTAGTCCATGTTATCTTTTTTATTTCGTTTCTTTTCTTTTCCATTTTGTCAGATTGATATTGATCTCTATGGAATTGAAAAAGGTTACGTCGAGGGCTAGGTGCCCACGTGCATCATCCGGTTGCTTTCTAGAAGTTGAATCCGGTTTCTCCTTCTGTTCCTCCACCCCATCGTATCTGAAACTTTCCACCGTCAGGGCTTGACCATACAGCTAAGTGAACTAGTGCCTCGAGGTTGCCACAGGGTCAATATCGTCCCACTTTTCATATACAACGTTGGTCTGAGGTAGAACGACATAAAACCTTGCCCTGTCTCTCTTTCCCATCTCCCCCCTTCTTCTTCTTTCTCTTCTTCTCTACGCACATCCCTCAATCTTCTCTCATCGGACGAACACCAGTTCATCCCCCCCCCTCCCTTCTCCGTCAAGATGGTCGCGCTCGACGAGTACACCTACGTGTTTGCCATCGGCACCATCTTTGCCCTTCTGGATGCCTACAACAACGGTGCAAGTAAGTGTTTCACCTCGGTCCATGTGGGGTGGTGGGAATCACACTAACCATTCACCTTAGACGATGTCGCAAACTCCTGGGCCACCAGTGTGTCGTCGCGTTCCATCTCCTACCGTCAAGCCATGATCTTTGGCACCATCTTCGAGTTCCTCGGTGCCGTCTGCGTCGGTGCCCGTACCGCTGATACCATCAAGAATGGAATTATCCCCGTCTCAGCCTTCCGTGGTGACGCGAGTGTCCAGTTACTTGCCTTCGCCTGTGCCCTAGCCGCCGCATCCTCCTGGGTTATGTGGTGCACCCGACACTCCACTCACGTCTCATCCACCTACTCTCTTGTGTCTGCCGTGGCCGGTGTTGGTGTTGCGACGGCGGGCGCGTCCAAGGTCCAGTGGGGTTGGAACAATGGCAAGGGTCTTGGAGCTATCTTTGCCGGCTTGGGAATGGCTCCGATCATCTCTGGTGCGTTCGGGGCAATCATCTTCATGTTGATCAAGGTCGTTGTGCACATGAGGAAGAACCCTGTTCCATGGGCCGTCTATACCTCCCCCTTCTGGTTCCTGATCGCCGCGACGATCTGTACTTTGTCGATTGTGTACAAGGGGTCCCCCAGTTTGGGTCTGAACAAGAAGCCGGGCTGGTATATTGCGGCCGTCACGCTGGGATGCGGCGGTGGTGTCGCCATCCTGTCCGCCCTCTTCTTCGTTCCTTTTGTGTATTCCCGTGTCATCCGCAAGGACCAGGATGTGAAGTGGTGGATGTTCATAATGGGCCCCATGCTTCTCAACCGTGCATCCCCAAATGTCGGAGAACAGGCGAAGATTCCCGATTACGCTGTCGTCCAGGAAGACCATGATGACAGTGCATCCGTTCCCTCGACGGCTGGCTCCACAACCGGAGAGCTCTCCAAAGACCACACCCAGACCAAGGAGAAGGCACTAGTCGTGGCGGAGACTAAGGCCACATACAAAGAGCTCGTAGCGCAGGGAGAGGCTAGATTCCATGCCAGACTCATGAAGAAGCGTGGTCCTCTCGGATGGGCGATGCGCACTCTGCGGGACAACCCAATGGGCGCTGGTGAAATATACGAATGGCGCAACATCTTCATCCTTCTGAAGCGAATCCCTGCCATGATTACGGTTGCTCTTCTCTACGGTATGAATTATGACATCCACGCCGCCCAGTCTGGTGTTCACGGTACCCCGGAAGGTGACCGCATGAACCGGGTATACTCCCATGCCGAGAAATATCCCAATGAAGTGGAACATACCTACTCGTTTGTGCAGATTCTCACCGCCTGTACGGCCTCTTTCGCTCACGGTGCCAATGACATCGGAAATTCCGTGGGACCCTGGGCTGTGATGTACTCCGCCTGGACGACTGGCGATGCTGGTAAATCCAAGGCTCCCGTCCCCGTGTGGCAACTCGCTGTACTCGCCCTGACTATCTCCGCCGGCCTGATCACCTACGGCTACAACATTATGAAGGGTAAGTGATGTCTGTTAGAAGCGATTCTTCGATCATCTGCTAACGAGTCTGTCGTACATAGTGATGGGAAACAAGATCACCTACCATTCGCCGAGTCGTGGTTGCTCCATGGAGATGGGCGCTGCTCTCACTGTCCTCATCTTCTCCCAATACTCCCTTCCCGTGTCGACATCCATGTGTATCACTGGCGCTACGGTCGGCGTCGGTCTCTGCAATGGCACCTACAAAGCCGTGAACTGGCAGCGAGTCTTCCTCCTTTTCATTGGGTGGGTCGCTACCATTCCTATTGCCGGCACCCTGGGTGGAGTCCTGATGGGCTTGTTTTTGAACGCTCCTCACTGGTCTTAGAGAAAGGCCAGTTTTTGTTTTAAGTAATGCGCCCGATATGGCTCACCTCTTTGCATATATTAATTCCCCTTTCCGCTTCACAATGTAACTACGGCATGCGATGGCATAGACCACCAGATTCAGTTTACTCTTCATGAAAATTAATCAGTCTATCTGCAATGCAGATCCAGTACAGGATTACGTTGAGCTTCTAATTTCGTTTGTATAATTGTCGTCTGGGTGGTTAAACGAACTTTAAGGTTCTCGGGAGACCTTATGATTCACATCTGCCAAGTTCAACGTCACCCTGGTAGTACACAGTAGGGAAACGTGAACACTACTTATCACCATGTAACGGGACACATGGGTTGACTGGTGATACACACCAACTTTGCCCGAGCTGATAAACGCCCACTGCAGTTTGTCTAAAAGCTTTATCTCCCGCGCACAGTAGAAAAGTATGGTTGTGACAGTGCTAGGCAGATGGCACACGCTAAGGTTGCTCTTCATTCTTAGACATACCTGTCTTACACATTCACCCAACAATATCCTAAATCCAGCTTCTCAAAGACTAAAAGGAGCCCTCAATATGAACGTGTGCAATGTATAACATACCCACAATGACTGTGTGATTCCGAGCAGATCCCTAGGCCAATTAGTTAGCCTAAGTATACCATTAACAAACCTACAGTCGTCTCTTCTAACTCTCTAAGGACGTCGAACGCCACGAATTTATATTCCAGGGATTGCTATGACTACAATGTGTAGCACCTCGAATCGGAGGGCCACCAGATGATGTCGTTGGTCTTCACCGGCCATCAATACTTCGTCCGACATCACGGTGGTTTGAACGATATATTCGATGACTGTGGCTGCAGCGGAAATGCAAGCCATCGGGTGCGCTTATCCCCCCGTCGCTAGGCTTGAACGAGCATCAGTTCTTCTCGTCTACGAATCTCTCGTTGGTAGTAACCCACGATCCAAGGGGATAATTATAGGCACTGTTTGTTCCATAGGGTCTAGCCGAGATCAAGACCATACCAATCTCGTGTGTGCGCAGATTAGCCGCCGAACGGAACGGGTATTCAGGGTAATCAGTCATACTCGAGCTCTTTCGTGACCATGGCTAGCAATCTCATCATCAGAAGGATTACTCGGAAGTTCCTCACCCTAGTTGCGCCAAGATATTTTGTCTGCGATATAGACAGTCTTGGCGAGTCTGGCAGTCTACATTGTACACCTGGTGACTAATATATCGACAATAGGATAGGCCGCCTACTCAATCCGGCTAGGGTTCCGATGAGTCAACCCCGGATCTAATCAGATAATAAGGCTTTTGGTCGTGGGGAACTGGATCCCATTAAGTAATTTGGTTGCTAAAAAACCCTCTCGTCTCCATTTTTTTTTCCTAACCGGCCCAAAATTTTCCGAATTTATCTGCCCACGATGTGCCTGCCCAATTCATGCGCCCCGGCTCTTTTCCTCAAAGACCAACCCTTCGGAGCGCGGGAGCCATCATGACTGCGACAACCATGACTACAGAGACCGCCAGTATTAACACGCCATCGTCAGCCAGTAGCCATTCCATCAAGAAGTCGAATTGGCAGCAGGTCGTGGTGATAATTCAACTCGTCGGCGTCACTCTCACGGCCAGCGTGATCAATGGCTTGGTGACCATCGCTCTGCCGACTATCACCAAGGATCTCCAGTTGCCATCATCTTTAGCCTTCTGGCCCTCATCAGTGAGTAGTCTCGCTACGGCCTCGACCCTTCTCCTAGCGGGGTCTATTGCCGATACCGTTGGTCCACGATGGGTTGAACTAGTGGGATCTTTCGCGAGCGGAGGGTTGATGATCGGCCAAGGTTTGGCTCAGAATGGAGAAGGGCTGGTGGTAATGAGAGCCCTCCAGGGTGTTGGTCTTGCGTTCCATCTGGCTTCGTCTGTTTCGATCATTACGCAACTTCTGCCCCAAGGCAGAGGCCGTAACCTGGCTTTCTCGTGCCTCGGACTTAGCCAGCCCCTTGGCTTTTCTCTCGGACTCGTCATAGGCGGTGTTTTAGTAGACACCATTGGTTGGCGAGCGGGCTGGTACATTGCCGGGGGTATAACGGTCGCTCTTGCGATGCTTGGCGTGTGGATTTTACCCAAGAGCGAGGCTCATCAAACTGAGAATATCCTTCACAATGTCCGGACAAAGATCGACTGGGTCGGCGCCGGCCTGGCGTCTGCATTCATGGCGTTGCTGTGCTATCTATTGGCGTAAGTAATAGACCCATGGGGATTGAACTGTTTCCAGTATTGACTCAAATGCTAGTATTCTGAGCGCGGATCCGTCTCACATCAAATCCGTCGAAAGCATTGTGATCTTGTGCCTGGCTGCCGTTGCCCTCCCGTTGTTCATTTACTCCGCACATTACCGCGTGAAGAGGAATAAAACAGCCCTGATCCCCAATTCACTCTGGAAAAACACGTCATTCTCGAGTGTTTGTGCCACTGTAGCTCTGTCAAATGCAGTGCTAAATTCCATGGAACTGTTCGCGAGTTTATTGTAAGTGTCCTAGTTCATGACCCCTCCATGTCTCCACCCTCATCCACTAATCATCCCGCAGTTTCCAAGAGGTGCAATACCTATCGGCTCTCCAAGCATCGATTCGGATTCTCCCAAGCCTTATTGTTGGCGCACTCCTCAACCTTGTGATCGGACTATTCGTCCACAGAATGCGCGCCGTCTGGATCGTAACCGTCACCTCACTCCTCTGCGCCGGATCCCCCCTTTTAATGGCCGTCATCCAACCCTCCTGGCCATACTGGGGTAATGCCTTTTTCGCCCAGATTCTGCAACCCGTTAGTTTCGACGCGCTGTTCACCGTAGGACTGATCGTCATCACCGATGTCTTTCCAAATGATACTCAAGCCTTGGCGGGGGCGGTATTCAATACTTCCGCACAATTCGGAAGTGCGCTGGGTCTCGCTGTGCTGCAGGTGATTTCGACTGTGGTCACGGATAAATCCGGCGGACAAGAAAAGCACGCTTTAATGGATGGGTACCGGGCGAGTTTCTGGACCATGTTTGGGTCTATGATTCTTTGTACGATAGTTGGGTTCTTGGGGTTGAGGAAGGCGGGGAGAGTTGGTCTCAAGCAAGACTAAATTGGTCAAGGCAAGGAGTGTACCTTGTTAGGTGGTGCAAGTAGAAGGTATGGGTATATGCGGTATTTGCGAATGGAACGTCGATGTCTGCATCCACTTGTATGTCGCTTTTGGCTTGCCTTGATCTCTCGGAACTTGGCTGAATCAATGAGCGAACGGTGAAAGACTGTCCATCTCCAGATCACTCTTCCATGCTTTGGACGACGTACCTTGTCGTCCCATCAGGGCGAAGATATTCATAGCCCAGATAATTGCCTCGGATAGCCACGGTTTTCATGATATCAATAACATTATGTACATATAAGCAAGCAACAGTTGATGTTACAATTAACCTTGTATTCAGCCCATCACAATCCCTCTCTAGTATTCCTGGAATAATGACTGTTGCTACTGCACTGCTGGCTCCACTGGATGCCCCTCCGCCAAGATTCGTATGTCTAGTAACCCTCGGATAGTACCCAAGAGAGCTTCAGCCGAGATCGGAAGCTGCTCTATGAGTACGGCCCACATTGGACATCAAGGCATTTACGAAAAACACCTGAAGTTAAACCGTTTGGGAATCTCGGACTTCCTCCCATTTGCCTTATATTTATACCAAGGAGTTCTTTGAAGGTCCTAAAGGGTACGATGCTACCGAGAGGACGCCGACGGCGAGCGTTTTGGTTTAGTCATGGCTGTAGTTGCTCAAACAAAGTTTCTTAGTACTTACTATGGGGCAAGACTTTTCGAAAATGCGGTCATAAAAGCTCTGCATATCTTCTCCATACTTAGGCTACCGTTATATAACCCAAAGGATGGAACGTACATAGCGTGGTATATGCAAATCGTAAGCCAAAAGATGAGGCAATCGTTTTCTGCAGCTTAGGGGTCAACTAACGAGGGCAACCCCAGAGCTCTAATTCTATTGTAAGTGTCACTGCTTTTATAGGGCTTGAAGGATCAAGTTGATTTCTAACTGATGTACAGCAAGTGACGAAAATTGAACACTAGAGTGGAATGGGGAAGGCGAGGAATAGCTTCGATTATCAAGGGCCTACCTATATAATTTAATGGGGTAGACCAGGGCCTAGAAACACTCGACAGGCATAAGGCGAAAGGTTCAGGTTGCATGAGCTATCAAGTGCTAATTAGGAGAATGTCCTCGGACACAAGGACACCGCACAGATAAACACCTTTTAAACGGCGTAAATTCCAAGCTTGTCATTGGCTCCAAGCATTCCTATGCGAAGAACTAATGACAAGCTTGGCAGTTGCTCGGTCTGTCTGCTCGCGTAGATTAAGGTGAGATATAAAACAACCTCACGGCGGCCTTTGCCGTATAAACGGATACACTTACCTGTATCGGCCGCCCAGCATACTCTAAGACTCCGGGTCGAGTATTTTGCTCGACTAGAGAACCAAATAGACAAGCTAGCCAGCCATTCAAGACAATAACCTGACAAATTCTAGGGATCTCGCAAGGTCCGCCCAAGGAATTAACGATTTGAAGCACGTGGCCTGTATTATCTGCTTGAATGGGTTCATCTGATAGTGGTTTAGACGCACGATTGTGGGCAGGCATTATCTAGCCTTGCTCGGCCTATGGGGAAAGAATAATGGGTATTAATATACAGCGCCAAGCCAAGTAGTGGAATCGACCAATAAGCGGAACTTCTTGTATTGATGTGATGTGCTTACATGCGAGTCATGTTGCTTAGCGTAACCTACGACGCTAACTAGTTAGAAGGTGATGTAACCTTCTCTGAGTCACAAAATAATCTGATTTCCGTGTTCCTGGTCTGAGCACCGAGTAAAGGCTCCATTCAACCTGCCCACCATGGATTTTCAGCCCATAGACTTTGACCCCCTGGGGTTTCATCCCAGCGAGCGTCCATCTAGGGGCGATCTCTTCGAATAGGAGCGATGGGATCAAGGTTATGAAGCGGAAGGTATATGCTGTGTTATTTGCGGCGTCCCAAGCTTTGTAAGCTCTTCTTCAGCACTCCTAAAACGATAACCCAGTTATAATTATGAAGGTGGTGGTAGAGGAAGTGCGAAATAAGAACCTTGAGAGGTACCAATAGTTTGTACCGCTTGCCATCCAAGCTGAAAATTACCACTATGAAGAAGATTGGGATATTCTGAGCCTACCAAATCATGACCTACCACTGGAAGTACTCGGGATAGATGGTGGGTTACTCCTTGAACTCTCTTTCTAATACGAAGTCTATAATCTGCTGGAGAGATTGCTGATTCGTTATAGAGATTGAGATCCACAGTGTGCATTACGGGGAGCGTTTGTTAAGAACAGAACCTAGAAGATACATACACCATTCTTCAAAACTAGTACACGATCTATATATGGAGTACCCGTATGTAACGGTGCATTCGGAATGCTTAGACATGATGCGACATCTAGTAGAGTATCGCCAGGCTTTTTCGAATGCTGGAGTAATTGTGACAGGTCTAAAGCGTCCCAACCCCCTCAGCAAGTTCTATGAAGTATTTTGAACAGCGAGTGACTCGGGTGAGTTGGGGTTATTATCCCTTGGGACTCAAAGGCTCGCATTTTCCACTTCGTGTGGTTGAACCACACTATTATTACTTTCGCGATACTGCCCTTTATCACCATGCTGCGTGTGCTTTTGGAAAACGAAAGGCCTACGAATGCTCTATATATTCCCTATTTTAGTTTCTTCCTATCGCTAACAATCACCCACTTTAGGAATACGAAATGGCACCATCTCCCATTCCAGGGCTCATTGGAGAGATCTTCACATCTACAGCCTCTTCCACAACCCTTACAAGGACAAACTGGATTATTCCCTGCACTAACAACACTACCCACCGAGCTTCAAGGCATGATCTACAATAATCTACACCCTTTCGTCAATCTTGAGCTGACACCCAACCGTTCATTACCGCCAGGACTGTGGCGTGACATGCTTTTCAATCGGCAGATTTTACCCTGGCTTTAGGATTTAGATATCTCCGTCATACAGAGCCACCCTCCAACATCCGATACGGACGACGTTTTGACCTATGAGGCAGAAGGTGTTTGGGATTGGGAGCTCCCTGTTCGCACCCTCGCACAAGTGGAAGTGCTTGAACCGGGGAACCCTTTACAACATGTCCCACTCCGCCTACGGAATCGACGGCGGATATGTAGATTACTAGAAGAGGCCGAATATGAAGATATTAAACCGTGGATCGATATTTATGTTTATAAGTGATGATAGTTAGGCGCGAAACGTGCTTTAGCATGGATAGGTGGGAGGCAATGGTTACACCTTGTTATTGACAACGTTTAATTTGATATGTTCTAGCAAGCCTATTCACATCCAACTATATGCTTACGCTATCGTAAATACATGTTCATAATGCTAGAGCCTGCTAAATCTTTTAGTACTGTGGCACAATTGAATGGTGGTTTTGGGACTTTTGTTATATCACCTGCACTGTATCTCACGTTAAAAGCGCTACCAACGGTTCTACCCCTTCCACCTTCACTTATGGGGCCTTCTCCTAAGACATAGCCTTTCGTTCACCCATCGTTGGCCCTCAAGCCAAGCCAATAACAGCCATAGCGGCCGCACCACCCCCAATAGCCCACTTTATATTTCCCGTAGCCTTTGCCAAACCTGCGTTTGTACTCTGGCTGGTGCTGGTTGACGAGGACGCCCAAGCCTGGCTCTCTTTTTTCGCCTTTTCATCAAGTAGACCGGCAGCGCTAGCAGCTGAGGCCTTCACCGACGACCCAGTCGCCGTGGCGATAACACCAGTGGGGGAGGCCTTTACGGTGGCAGGCGTAGTAGCCGCTTCCCTGCCGGTGATAACCAAAGCTTGGTAAAAGTCATCAGCTGGGCCGACAGTGACCCCGCTCTCCACCTCCGTCGAAGATCCGTAGTCTATTGAGAGTAGGTAAGATAGTGATGTGGACGCGCTGATGGCGCACTCTTCCGCCATTGTACTATAAAAGGTAAGAAGAAGCGACAAAACAATCTATTGGTGTAAATGTCTCCTTGATAACACTTGCCGGAGACCAGGAAAACTCACAACTCAGGGTAATCGAATACCGCACGGAAGGTAGATGGGCCATGGGTCACAGTAAACCCAGTGGCCGAGCCCTCACACTCGCCAATGACGTAAAACTCCCGGTTCTTGGGTCTGACATCGCAGTTAATCACATACGTAGTCAGGGGACCATTCTAGATAATTTCGTTGCTGATATTAGTCGGGTTAGATACTATCCTGCGCAATTGATAGCCCACTTACAGTTTCTATAACTCGTCCGACCAGGGATATCCCTTGAAATTCCGGCAGGAAGAGAGTGACGGTTTCGTTAGCCAGGGCGGCGGCCATGAGAAGCGTGAAGGATAGGAACTTGCGGGCAAACATCGTGAGCATATATTCTTTGAGATTAATATCCGGAACAGTGTGGCGAAGGACGACTATAAGCGGAAAGATGGATGTACACGTCTTGGTGTTGGCGGACTGCAAAACAGACCACCTCAGGGGATGTGGAAGAAGCGAAATCAAGGACTCAGACTAGGGGTTAGAATTGAGACGCTTTAAAGTAAAGCAAGACTTTCCCCGGAGCGAAGTGCAAAATGACCGGCTTTGTCTTGCCACCTTTCCCGTGAGTGGTGATTGGTTCTATTGACTAATATCCACAACGAGGCGAATACTATAATGTATTACTAGTCCTCTGGTTAGATGGAAAACTGCATTAAGGGAGTATTTCATCCGCTATGATTGGCCAAAGCATATAAACTAATAACTATCTCCTAAAGAGGTCCTGCATAGACTAATAGTACTATTTTAGTTCTTAGGGCTAGCTTCAATTTGGGGGCCATGGCATTTCTTAGCGGAACACACTCCGTTATGTTGAAATAGGGGATTCTCAATACTCTGTAACTAATAGATGGCAATCCGTACATTGAGTGGTATGTTTAGATATATTTCGTCTTGTCTCTGGAAAAGTTTGTGGTGCGAATTATATGGTTTGTTAAGGGTCAGATAAAGTGGGACCCTACTCCAGCCAGCGATCCTAGACAACTCCGGAACAATATACTAGTATATCCAAGCCAAATTAGGTTTAGCTGAGGACGCAGAAAGGTATAAGTCTAATCGTGGCAGTTTAATGAAGAATACAAGAAGATCAAAAGCACAATCAAAATCATGTTTACTAAAAAGCAGAGGCTATTTCACTGCATCAATGGTTGATAACTTGAATCCACCTTGACCCACAAGTTCCAGAGCCAAGCTCAGATCGGCAATTTAGGGCTTACATCTCTGCTTCCTCTCCCAACTTCCCAACCATTGCGGTATCTTGTATCCTCCGAGATTATTCTACAAATCCCTGTAAATCCCAGGTTAGTACAGGGCTTGCAGTATAATCTGAATAGATATCTTACTGGAGCTTGTGGATTGCACGAAATCCACTCAGCACGCGCCCAATTCCTAAATTCTTTGTAAACACCTCGAGGGGGGAGACACCTATATTTACTGACGTTGTCTGATCCATATGCCATGCATTTCTTGCCAATGTAAGCTATCCATTCATAATAGATATGTGTTGACATCAACTCACTACAAATACTTCTCTATAGCTGACTGGCCCTTTGATCGCCGCCCGATTTGAGGAGCCTGAGACTGGGGCCTGGTTGGAGTATATTGGGTCGCTTCGGTGGTACTCAGATTGGGGGAAAATTTGAGAAGTCTAAATTTGCATCTGGCAGGTATAACTTCGCAATTGTCCCCGACGTTTGCTAGTTTGCCTCTAAGTTTTTCTAATCCGGATTGACATAGGGAGCGTAGTTGAATTCGGAGACCTCGTGGACATTCCCTGATCCAGGGTTTTCCGGCTCAATGGGATCTGGTGGAATGTTTGGAGTTTGATTCGGGGGCACTGCAGCCATATAGCTTGTGGAATAGAATATACTAAGAACCATAAAGAAAATAATGTTCTTCATTATAACGAATGCTAATGAAGGAGGGTCGACGGGAACGCATGGATGATCAATCCTGAGATCCTCTATGCTGGCACACCTATAGTTTATTATCTCAGGGGGTTATGGGTTGCTTGAGAGTAGCTACTATTAACTACCACCTTAGACTGATATGGGAAAGGCTTTTCCTCTCTGTCCCTTCCCCTTCAGCTCCATATGACCGCAAATGCTCTTTGGTCATCTTGTTTTATTTCAGGGCAATTTTGCCTTTCCGGGCACGATTTGTGCGCCTGGTCTAGCCTTTCAATAAATGCTATAATGCAACGAGCAGGACAAAACCTACTAAACGCAATAAGTAATAGAAAGCAGTGAATGTCTTTCAGACCTACATATACAACTGGAAACCGCTATAGTACTACTTATATAGCGATATAATATATTTCCAGTTCAGGTTATAGATACCGAACGCCCAGTAGGTATGATCACTCAAGGATGATAGTATCGTGAATGGAAGTTCCAATTATCAATTTTCCAAACAGCCTTGTACATGTTATTTATTATGAACAAAACAAGGGGCCAGAGATGAGTTGGATCCACTGGACGGGAACCACAGGAACATCGCAAGTTGAATCCAGAAGGGTGGTTTAAGTATACCCTCTCCTGGGTCAGATTTGCCTTCGTGGTACTAGTGATGATCTGCACCGTTCTCTACCTTTCCTCTGTTGGCTATCTTACAGTGGAGGCTTTCACCAGCCTCAGGAGCTTACCTATCGATTCCTACTCTATACCAAAATTGTCTAACATCTTTCCACACGTTTTATCCGGCTAGAATTTGCTCTCCTTGATCGATACTCATTTGCATCACTGAGCCGCTAACTGTACCCACGAATGAGAGATTTAATTGCCACTGCGCTCACAACAGTGTCTGGCGTTTAGGCGTTTACCTCGATACACGGAAAAAGGGTGTTTCTTTACTTCTACTTTATCATTGTCCTTCCTTTTCGCCTTTCACTTTGCCTTATGGAAAATCACACTGCAAGGATAGAATATGCTAAACGTTCTTCGTGAATGTCTGCTGCGCACTGTCAGCTATGTGAAGAAATAAGTAGCTTTGGCCAGGATTCGCATTGAATATAGAAGACGTACCTTTTTGATAGGAGACGTACCTAGGACGCGAGCAGTGGACCAGGGTACGCCAATCAAACTTGGTAATACACAATACAACAGCTTGAGTTGATAATACGGCCTTTCTTTTATGAGAAACTGTGTTGCAAAACTGAGAAGCACATGCCTTTATGAGTTTGGATAAATTCATATTACATCTTACCCATGCGCTAGTAGAATTTCTCCGTCGGTTCCTGCGGCTGAGCTGACCTGCGAAGTGAGACGGAACATAATATCTCATTCTTGGACTGTAGGACCAGAAGGTGGGGCCCTTGGTATAGATCGATAAACATGAAGATTTCAGGGCAGCAAAGGGACGTGCGATGATTGGCAGAGAGTTGTGTCGGGCATCAAATCTGAATATCAAAATATTATGGTTCGAAAACTACCTTTTGATATAGAGTTGCTAAGCAGCGTGTCGCTAAACAAATTGATCATTCCAACAGTTAACACGATGTAATGGTGAAGCTACCAGGCATTCATAAGGCTCTGATACTTAAAAGGAAGCTTTCAACAAGTCTCAGCTCTAATCGTAGATAATGCAGCCAAAACCTTGTACCCGTTTACGGTCTTGTCTGATGGGATTACAGCAGGGCATAACACCAAATTGGGACTGGTACTCTCTTGGCAGGTAGGCCAATGCTACCTTAGATTCCTTAAGCCCAGTACTAGAAGGTAATGTCGATCTTATATTGGGGATCTACCTTGTATCCAACAATTGGCGGGGACTTCATCAGGACATCTAATGTGAAGAACGGCCCCCATATATCAGGTCCTTGGTACGCCTAGCTTAGGGTATAGTGATGATGTATAAATAGTCTAGTATCGTGGACTTGGTACCAAGAACATCAATTGATTTCTCCAGTTATCACAAGTACCACTTCTGCTACTCCACTAGACGCCGTCCAATAGCGGACCTATCACACCCAATCACGACAGTGTCTCTGGTCAGTACGTTCCCCTTCTAAGGTGATGATCATGTCTGATTCTGATAGGAATCTCTCGGCTTCATCGTCACCTACGCTGTGTGCATCACATCCCAACTAGCACCTGCCCTTCCCGCAGTGGAACTCTGAAATCGAGACCCGCACTCCCTGCCCAAGAGGTAACTGGAAAAATGCCATCAGCAGCAGAGCGGAATGTGTGCCCCTCAATGTACGAATGGGCGATTGGGTGCGAACCTGCGCTGTCCGACTCAGTGTATCAACCAATCCAGCATCAATTGTCTGAAATGGTGTTCGTGAGGCTATCGCTCGGCCACACTTCCTCATTTGCCCTGACTAGGTCGCAAGGAAGCATGGTTGGACTATGCCACATTGCCCAAGGCGAGGCATCACTTGATCATACATACCGAAGAGTTCTAGAAGAACAGGAGGAGATGAATGCAAGCAATGCATTTTAAAGTCCATTCAATAATCAGGGTTTCTTGTCTAGCATAGCTCGTACGTCCTCTATCTATCAAATTGAAGAGTAATCAACACACACGTATATCTACAGTGACGCCTATCCGGTAGTGATACTTGGAGCAACCTACGCCACCTCGTCCCGTTGACCGGTACCGTGTACCTCTGAAAGAAGCCTCGCCGTATCCCTTATGTACTCTCGACTCTTGCGCAATCCCCGAGTGGGATGGTTGTAATGGGCGAACGCATGTGGCACACCCGCGTACCTTTTCATGGTTACTCGAGTCCCTGCCTCACGAAGTAACAGTCCATAGTATTCCGCTTCATCCCGTTCTACATCGAACTCAGCTGTGACAATGTGTGCCGGGGCCAGTCCCTTCAGGGAGGGTGAAAGGACAGGAGTCATTCTCCAATCTGAAAGGATCTCCGATCGGACCGCTTCATCCGTGCCAACGTAGTAATTTAGGAACCAAGACTCCCGAGCGAGTGGTGACCACGGCAGGTCAGAGCAGAATATGGCACTGGGGTACGGGCAGGTTTCTGCAGTAAGAGGTTCTGCATCGGTTATAGAGAGCGGCACGTAGCGCATGTCCGTCGCAGGCACCACCATCAGTTGGAGTTTCAATTCGAGTGGAGGAGAGTAGTCACGCGCAAAGTGGGCAAGAACAGCTGTGATCAACCCACCCGAGGATAGTCCCCCGATCGAGATGGAGTTGGGGTCAATGTTGAGGGTTTGCGCGTTGGAATGTGCCCATTGCACTGCGGCCCAACAGTCATACAACGCGATAGGATATCGGTGTTCCGGGGCAAGACGATAATCCACGTCGATGACAATTATAGACGATTCGTTGCAGATGCTACGACACCAAGCGGCTTCCGACTGTAGGCCTCCAAGTACCCAGCCGCCTCCGTGGAAATTTAGGTGTACTGGGAATGGGCCCAGCCCGGGGGGTGTGTATACGCGACAGGTGATCGATCCTTTGGGATTTGAGACGGGGACTTGGTAGTCTCGGACATGATGTACTTCGGGGCCTGTAAAGTGAAGTCAAGACACGTTTAGTGAGTAGCTTTCTTCGACATAGATTATGAATAGAATTCACCTGTCCAAGTTGGGTAGGTAAAGCTGTATCTCTCAGGGCACTGCCGAAATTCTTCAATAGTCACCAAGTGAGCTCCTGTCATGTCCTTTCCGTGGTTTGTCCACATCTCCTGCCATTCAACATCTAGGCCTTCAAGGTATTTTTCCGGTATCACGTTCCCTTGCCGCCTTGCCAAGGTATGGACGGTCATTATTTGATCTGTTTCTGTAATTGTCGCCATGGTGTGAATGAGAAATTGCATCAATTGGTAAACGTTGCAAGGTGATATTCTGCCAGGAGGTGATATATTCTTCCAACGTGGCTTCCGTCACCGCAGACAATTACCATCCCCTCATAGCTCCATCAACCGGTTTGCCCAGGATCCCCTAAAGCAGAGACTAATAGATAATAGATGTAGTGGAGCCGTATCGGCATCACTTTCAATTGGTGGCATTGAAATCCATTTTGATAGGAAGGTCGCGATCGGCATCCACAATCTCGTATCGCTTCCCCGCAAAACGCCTTATCAGGAACCGGAGATAAGAGGGATGGAGTCTCTGGAGAGACTATAAACGGGGCATCAACAGATTGATTCAAAACGGCTCGACCTTCACAGCATAGGCTTTCATGCACAGCACCACACCCGTCATGGCGGAAAGCACAAGAATTTCAGACGTCCCTGATCGTCAAGTCGAGTCAATGGTGACTCACTCAGATGCACAGAAACCTCTTCAAGTCGGCCGGGCATATGAACCAGGTTTGCGTCGAGTGCCTGACCGTATTCCCTGGGTTGTCGGACTCATCATCGTTGTTGAGCTTGGGGAGAGATTCACCTATTTCGGCCTTAGTGGACCCCTACAGAATTACATCAAGTATGTTGCTTCGCTACCTTGGGTTATTATTTACCACTGAACACATGACGGCAGGAATCCATACATCCCTGGAGCAGAACTACCAGGCGCCCTTGGTAAGGGGCAAGCAACTGCGTCTGCTCTAGGTAACTTTTTCAAGTTTTGGGCGTATGCCTCCACCATTCTGGGGGCGGTGGTAGCCGGTGAGGACAGTCTATGTTGCGTACATGAAAGGCCCACTGTCCACTGACTCATCGCTCTCCCGAACCACACAGATCAGTATGTCGGCAAATTTAAGGCCATAGTCATAGCCTCTGGGGTTTACATCGTCGGCTTAACTATCCTTGTAGCAACTGCGACCCCAGCAGCTATCAATGGAGGATCGGCATTTGGTGGGCTCGTTGCCTCGATGGTTATCATAGGCTTGGGAACAGGTGGAATCAAAGCAAATGTCACCCCTTTCTGTGCTGAACAGTATACGAAGGGCAGCGCCTTTATCAAGACACTAAAGTCAGGAGAACGTGTGGTTGTAGACCCTGAGCTCACCGTGGAGCGAATGTTCATGTGGTATATTCCTTGTTCCTGCCAGGTAGAGTACCACACAATATTAATGCTAAAGTTACAGGTTCTACTGGGCCGTCAATATCGGTGCTCTATCACCCTTGATTACCGTCAATGTGGAAGCCAAAGTGTCCTTCTGGCTGGCCTTTCTCATACCCTTGATGTTAGTATAGATACATAAAATATTCGTTGTTCATCCAAATTTGACTAATACTGGAGTACAGTGTGATTGTCCTTGCTGCCATCGTTTTCACATGCTGCAGCAGGTTGTATATCAAGACCCAACCACAGGGTTCACCAATTGTTGAAACCGCCAGAACTGTATATGTTGCTATATCGGAAAGGGGCTTCGAGAATGCGAAGCCCAGTGCCCTGAGGGAACGGGGTCGGATAGAGAGATACTCTGCCGCATCCAACGCCAACTACACCGATCAAAGTGTTGATGGGGTTAAAAGGGGCATGAGGGCCTGCAAAGTATAGAAGACCAACAATTTTGTCAATGACCATCGATATCGCTGACCATGATGAACAGCTATTCCTCCTGTTCCCGTTCTATTTCATTTGCTGGGTCCAGATCTGGAATAATCTCATCTCCCAGGCTGGTCAGATGGCTCTGCACGGCACTCCAAATGATTTGCTGCAAAATCTAGACCCTATAGCTTTGATTATCTTCATCCCGTTCCTCGATCGTAAGTGCAACCGGGTTTACTCTCAGGGCAGCTGTCTAACACAAGATCAGTCGTCGTCTACCCAACATTGCGTCACTTTAAGATCGATTTCCGACCAGAGTTGAAGATTACTGTCGGGTTCTTCATGGCTTCTATATCTATGGTGTACGCCAGTGTGCTCCAGCACTACATATACATCTCTCCGGCGCAAACCATTCACGTTTGGGTTCAGACACCTGCATATGTTCTAGTCGCCTTCTCGGAGGCCTTCGTTGTGGTGACGGGCTTGGAAATCGCATATACCAATGCCCCCGAAAGGTAAGGTAGCTTTGTGGTTACCTGATTAACACACTAAACTCACTGGCCATGTCAATAGTCTGCGCTCCCTGGTTTCGTCACTTTTCTGGTTGACTATCGGCGTAGCGGCGGCCATTTGTATCGGACTCGCCCCGGTTTCACAGGATCCCTATTTAGTCTGGATGTATGGATCTCTAGCTATTGTAGGTTTCGTCGCGGGAATCCTGTTCTATGTACTCTTCGGGAGGGTATTGAATCAGCCAGTCCCGGTATTGGATTCGGTGGAGACCACAACTTTGGGCCAGCGGGAAGACGAAGAGGCACAAATTGGGGGAGGGAAATGCATAGTGGTGACGGGAAAAGGTACATAGCCGAATGTTCCTCAGTTCCTTGGGGTTGTAATCAATAATTTTCTCCTTAATCAGTTGCCGTCTATTGATGCAATTAGTCATAAGTTTCCTTACTTCCACCTTAGTTCCAAGGCCCAATCCTCGGCTATCTCTCCTGCACCTTATCATGCTGATAGGATCACTTGTTCTCCACTTTAAGGCTCCACAGGAATGCCGCCAATCGGAGAAAGCCCGGATATTCCATTGGCATGACGTTGTCTATCCTGACGGTGGTTTATATAAGCCAGCACAGTGTTAAGACACCATAAGGACAAAAGGTTAATTCAAAATGGCGCATAACGATATTGTGGTGCTCGGGTAAGAACATAGGAGCTCTCGACTCACGTACATGTTTCCTAACATTAATCATCTAGCGCGGGTATCATCGGCTTAAACGTTACCTTGGAGTTATCGAAACGTGGCTATGGACGGCATGTCACAGTTATGGCGGAACATCTCCCGGGAGATGAATCTATCGATTATACCTCTCCTTGGTGCGCAGATATGCCTTCCTTTTGCACTGCATAGATCGTATTCTCACGCTCCGTCTGTGCTTTAGGGCCGGAGCGAATTTTTCAGGCATATCTGGCAGCGATGCCAACGCACTGCGCTGGGATCGATCTGGCTACTCGACCATGATTGGCTTGATTGATGCCGGGGCGGAAGAAGCGAAGTATCTGTCCAAAACCGAGTCAACAGAGTATTGGGACCAAGCACCATCGCAGGATAAGATCAACAGCATGACAGAGTATCTGCGTGATGTAAGGCTGCCCAGGACGTAAATCCCCATTTTAACACACAAAGAAAGTCACTAGGCAATTGCGCTAACTCCGTGGCCTTCAACTGGTAGCTTGTCATAATCCCTTCATCCGATCTCCCTGAAGGGGTTGCCTTCGGTATAAAATTCACCACAGTCACACTCAATGCGCCCGCACATTGCGAACATCTGAAACACCTCCTATCTCAACCCCGGTATGGTGGTGTAAGATTTGTCCGCCGAAAGGTATCGCGCTTACAGGACGCCTTCCTGCAAGGAACGCACATTGTCTTCAACTGCGTCGGCAACGCAGCATTTAGCTTAGCGGGAGTTACTGACCTGAAATGCTATCCCACACGTGGTCAGATTGTTGTTGCAAAGGCGCCGTCAGTCAACGTCAATGTTATGCGGCATGGCAAAGACTACGAGACATATATTATCCCACGGCCCCGCTCAGATGGCACCGTGATACTAGGTGGCTACCTACAGCCACGCGACCACACAAGCCAGGCCCGACCGGTAGAGACCGAATCTATCCTGAGTCGAACGGCAGCACTCCTGCCGGTCCTCAAAAATGGAGAAACAAAAATTATTCGCGTTGCCGTGGGATTGCGGCCATCACGGCAAGGCGGTGCTCGAGTGGAGCTCGAGACCACGCCGGAGGGTAACACTGTGGTACACAACTATGGCGCGGGTGGGACTGGGTTTCAAGCTGGGATGGGAATGGCTATGGATGCGGTTGATTTGGCCGCTGACATCCTCGGCCATCTCCAGGCTCATAGTAAGTTGTAAGGGTATATGATATAGGATTTATGGGAATATATATCTTCGCTTCTAGCTATATTCACTGGAATAAATACGGTATATCGGCAATAGTAATGCAGAGTACCAAGAATTGAAGAGAGTGGTTATCTATAAGTCACATATCTTGGAACGCATGTAAGGAATTGTACGCAAGTGATTAGGGCATGACTGGTCTGGGAGACTGTAAGCAAACCACCTTCTTAATTTGGATAAGAGATCCGTACATGCACGTGACGCCATACTAGTACAGATCCGGTATAGTTTAGAGACTCGTGACCACACTGTCTCAAAAGAGCAAGTGATTGATTGTCTCTCTTCTCTCTCCCAACATAAACCCTAATGTCACTGGTTTAGATACATGGACAATGACACATTTACTAGAAGGCACCCATATTCAGGGACTGGGCCCCGTAGGTACATGAGCAAAGCTCAACGCGCATGCGACCTTTGTCGCTCTCGGAAGTCGGCGTGTCAGATCGACACGGCTCCCCCTTGTCGCCTATGCAGGGTTCATGGACAACCTTGCGAGTTCACCGACCGTATAGTCCGTAAGAAAAGGCACCATTTGCAGAATACTGCCTCCCCGTCACGGAACGCTTTCAACGGTATAGCTGGCTCTAGTGATGGGCGAACGAATGAGTCATCGGTATTTGCAAGCTTGGTGAAACCGACGGATTCAGCAGCCATGCATATGACGGAAAGCCCTATGCATGCTGAAGATCCAAGCGTTGGCGAGCAGTTATTTGACTTTAGCTTGGGGCAAGGTTTTGACGATCCACATGCCTCTGTCCTGGGTAGAGAAGACCATGGAATCATGGATGAGCTGATGCTCAGTATGTATGAGGGTCAGGGATTGTCTCATATAGAGCCGAATCCTGGTCTGGGTCCCCCATCTCTTGATAACCATCCATCATTGACTTCTCAGTTGTGTGGTCTGACTGGTGATATGGATCCCTATGTTCTACGACACTATCGTTTCGATATAAGATCAGAGTTTCTATTCTCCAAGCTTGCTATACGGTCAGTACGAAATACAGAGGTGCCAGTGCAATTCTTGTTATCGAAACCTGAGTTGAGCAACGAGTCGAAGTCCTTAACTAGCCTGGAACCCCCAATTCCTGGGGAAGGATTGTCTGGTCTATCGCAGATCGTCACCCCGGAGATTGGGGAGCGATTGATCCAATTGTCAGTTGGTTGAGCTCGGCTAGCATTACATTGTGACTGACGTACCACCAGGTTTACGCGTTTCGTTAACCTACAATTTCCCATTCTTTCCGAGGATCGACTCCCAGATCCACGAGCCTCATCGGCACATCTCCTAGCGGCGATATACTTGATCAGCCAGCCCTTTACGACGTTTGATGACTACCTATGCATCGAGCTCGTGTACAGTCCTCCGTCGCCGCAAGACCTATTTAGAATCGCGTGGAGGGAGCTTAATCATGCTTTATCTGAGCCGACAATCCAGTCCTTGCAGGCAGCACTGATTCTCCTATTACACCCGCCTTCGAATCCTCTGTTACTTGACAGCACGGTGAAGTGGACACTTCTCGGCATGACTGTGTCAATGGCACAAACCCTCGGTCTGCATTTGAACCCTTCTATATGGAATATACCATCAGATGAAATCCATACCCGTCGCCGTTTATCATGGGTGGTATTTGCTATAGATAAGTGGCTCGCCTTTAGCTTCGGCCGACCAAGCCACATCTCAAGAAATGATTGGCTCATTACCGAATTGAATTCGAGCGACATTGAATCTGAAACCTCTACCAGTGGTGCTCATTTGTATGCTATTGAGTTCTCAAAGCTCACCACAATCCTGGACAATGTCCTCACAAGCCTTTAGTAAGCGATGACCTTCACAAACTCTAGGACCCGCCGTAAAGCTACGCGAACTAACTTATCTTTATTTCTTTACGTGGATTGTCCGCCCTGTCCAAGGACTTCCGTTTGACAATTTCCAACGCTCGTCCACTTATGCACGACCTCACAGCATGGCACGCCAGCCTACCTTTACTACTGGCCATGGACCCGACAGCCGGACGTAAACAAACATCGAATGATTCAGCATCTCTCCACATCGCCTATCAATCCGTGAAGATCCTAATCCTCCGCGCATTACTCCGCCCATTCAACAATACAGATCATCCTGCTTCTGAACTAGAGCAAGATGAAGAGTGGCACGCCGCACGGTCGCAGATTCGCAAAACAGCATCAACCGAGACAGATGCGGCTCTGAGCCTTATATCAAACCTACAACCAGCACACTACCACGCATTCTGGGCACCTTGTATGTATGACATGAAGATCTTAGGGAAAACCAGTCTACTGACAAGAAGAGGGTCGAAAACGTCTTTTGCCTCTATAATGAATCTTTTGTTCCTGCTGACGGTCACCGCTCACCAGTTATGTGGCCCTGAAGGTATGAATTCAGGGGAAGAGTACACTGAGCGCAGGGAGACTCTTGATCGGGCGAGAACGATATTTCGATTACATGCGAAGAGTCTCGATATCATCCGATTTGCCCTTCTACGCATTGATGCGGTGTTTTGGATCGGATGGGAGAAGGTCTTGGGCTTTCATTGAGCCCCTCAAACCTACTAAGATAAATACGATGATGATAGTGACCAGTGGACTCTGGCAAAGACTGTAAAACAATTATGGACAACAAACAAATGGGCCGTAGCCCCAAACATCCCGCGAGAAAGAAATTTCACTAAGGTCAAACCCCCTCCCCAGCCACCCTCCGTATGGCGGCCGTCATTTCTGCAGGGACCGAAAAGAGTGGGCTGTGAGACGCGTCCACCGTTTCCGTCCTAATGGGGATAACCTTTGGCCGTCTCCTCCACCATCATCTTCTGCACATAAAAAGGGATGGCGTTATCCTTGACACAGTAAAGATAGATCGTAGGAACGTGTTTCCACGCAGCATACGTGACGGGACTATGGAGGGTCTGATAGCTGTGTGGTTTCAATCTGGCCACTGCCCCCTGCACCTCAGAGGTTGACACGTAGAAAATTTCGCCGGGCGAAATGGGACTAAGGGCAAGGCGATCTGCCGAAATATTCCACCATGGAAGGTTATTCCCGCCAAAAGTGCCGATTACGGATTTCCCCTTCGATATGACGAAGGAGCAGCAAAGGAACAAGTGGGCAACACCGCCACTCTGACCGTTCTTCGGGCGTGTTACCAAGTCCAAGCCCTGGATTGCCTCGCTCGACACGACGCCTCCATAGGAGTGAGCTACCACAACGATCCTTCGGCCAGAATTGGCGATGCGTTCGACCTCGGCTCTGATATGGGCAACGTCGGGTGAGAAGTCGGCAAGGTACTCGACTGGTCCTACGGACGGTAAATGAACCATCTCAATGTCGTAGCCTTCTGCCTTTAGTCGTTTGCTGACTGGGTGGGAACACTCTGGGCCATGACAGGCGCCCGGGGCAAAAAGGATTTGTCGTATAACTGACCATATCTCGAGGAGTTATGGAAGGTTAATGGCTGGAAGGTTAATGGCAAGCAGGGTGAATGGACAAGTAGGGATTGTGCAGTTTATATGTTTACATGGTTGCAATGTAAACTTTTGCATTCCTTGCCAGTTAGTACTATTCTCTCGATATGGTGTTACTTCAACGGAATTGTCTGTTTTTTTCAGAGTCTTGGTGTCACAATCCTCACTGGCCCGCACCTTTATCAGGAAGACTCGCTTTGCGGGGGGTCCTTTTGTCATGTACATAATGTCTGCCCATGATCTGTAAATAAGGAATAATTTGTACGCCTCGTACACTTGCCTGGCATGGCTTTCAGTGCTGTCTCATCATTGTCACCTATAGCTTCCTATAGCTAAAGGATCAAGAGAATCTCCCACCAGTGCGGGTGCGGGAGAGTGGGGCAATGAGGGGCAGATGGCCAGCCTCCTACTACCACATCTGTCTGTCTACCGATCTTTCTGTCCCTTGCTATGTCCAACTATCTCGAGGTGACATCAGAGGAAGAAGTGGATCAGGTCTGCTGGGGTTTCCTTTCAAGCCAGCTCTAACTCATTGGTCTACTTGCTGGGCGGCGTGGCCTTTCCCTACCCTCCACTCACTGTATACGAGTCAGTACCTGCTGGGTCACGAACATTCTCGTTAGTCCAACAGTCCGACAAAATGGGTACGACCAGATACTCATCTCGGGTCTGCCTAACCTGTAAGTCCGGTAAAAGAAAATGCGACAAAGTGCTACCGGTGTGTTCGCGATGCGCGAGGTAGAGTACTGATCCCCACCCATCCCTATCCGTAGACAGCGGTGTTCTTTTCAAGCGACCACGCTAATTAAAACCCGGACTCCTATGCGATGTAGGCTCCAGTTGACATGTGTATATGAGGGCGCCGATGATATACAGTCTCATGCAGCACCCTCGCTCCATCAAGCACTTTTCAAGTCTAAGTCATCGAACGCCTGGCTGCGCAGCGCTTACACTGCAATGCAAAAAGACCGAAGCTTGTATCTGAAGAATGCAAACACATACTTTGGTACAGTTCACAAGTGGCTCCCTCTCATGAATAAAGAATCCTTTAAAGCGCGCTGGGAAGAACCTTCCTTTGAGCCAACCACCGAGGACTGTCTCCTGCTCTTGAGCATGTGCTTAATAATTCAGCGCCCAGATGAACAGCAAAGCCCATCCATGATGGAAACAGAGCAGTACCACGCAGTGAAGCACTTATTCCAGCATGCATTCACAGACAGTATCAGTAGTCCATTGGTAGCCGTACTTCAAGCAGGCGTACTTCTGGCGACTTACGAGTATGGCCATGGCATGGTGCATGCCGCCCATAGCACGGTCTACTCATGCATCTCTGCCGCTATCACATTGGGCCTTCACCAATCGAAGGCCTGCTCGTGCTCCAGGTTTAGTGCCGGCTGGAAAGACCAGGGTGAGGGCGCCTATGTCTGGTGGGCCCTTGTAATTAGCGAGAGGTATGTGCCCCCTCTCCTTTTGATCATTTATTATTGACCCTAATTACTCCTAGAATATTTTGTCTGTGGCGCCCAGACGAGGGTCGACTGCCCATCACACGTGTTGTAAATGAAATAGATCTCTTGCATGACCTGGACATACCAGAAAGCTTCGCCGACTCGAATAATATTCCAGCAGGGGATAGGTCGCCCGAGGCGAACTTCTACCGTCAGGTCCAGTCTTCTATTTTAATTGGACATATACTGGAACAAATCAATTCTCCGGACCCTGATCAGGACGAAAGCAAATCCGCGTTCCGAATCCTCGATTCGCGGTTACGCCGCGCTATTGAGATCAACCTGGGCGCAGAAGCAAATCATCTGGGCTCTGCTAGTGAAGCTCTTGCCATGAACAGAAGGTCTGCGCCCTTATTTTTCAGTAGCGTATCACTTCTCACTAGCAGTAGTTCTTTAATCGTCTTACATCAATGGCAATATGACCGAGTCTCAAAGTCCAATCATCGCCTCGACAGTATGCAACAGTCACGCATGGTTTTGGAATCAATGACTACCATTATGGTGGATACTGTTCATGAATTTCTCCCACGTATTTATGCTGGCTGGCCCAAGTCACATCATCCACAGGGCACTCAATCTGTGTTTCAGGCTGCGAATGTCTTACTTTCATTGTTGCATACCACGACGGATAGAAGCGCGTTGGATGCACTGAAAGAAATGCTGACGCTTCAGTCGTGCAGATGGAGAATTGCAAGTAGGTATAGCCCTCCCCTGTAAGACCATGCACTTATTCATATCAGGGGGGTACCTTGAATTCATAAACGAGCAAGAATATTCTTTAGATCAAAATACAATGCGCTCTGGCTAGTATCACCACCCCATGATGGCAGTGTTTAAGAAACATAACGACAATACAAAATGAGATCGACATGATCTTCGAAGCCCCTCACGGCTTCAACACAACATGACTCCCCCAACCGGACAATCGCCCCGCAGCCTGAAGTGCCTCCTCAATAGATTCCAATCCAAACTCTTCTGTCTCGTTCACCCCAATGGCAGCCCCAAGTTTCAACAACCCCGACTCCACCATGCGGACCATCCGCAAAATGTGTTGACGGTCATACATGAACCGTCCCTGCAGCCGAATGTTCTTGAACATAATCTGCAAGTACGGCACGTTGATGTTCCCCGCCGAACCACCCATAATGGCGCATCTACCAAACGGACGCAAGGCGCCAACAGCGGCGTCCAAGATCGACCCGTCCGTAGCTGCAGGGGGCGAGAAATCAATAAATACATCCGCCCCGTGGGAATTACACACTGCCGTTTTGAGGTTGGCCGTATTATACGCAACGTCCTCGGTGAGTACAACAGTTCGCAGTCGACCTGTGGACGCGTATGTTGTTTCGAGCGCTGCGAGTGCACTTTGATTCCGACCTGCCGCCACGGCCGTCGCCCCCATAGCGAGAGCGACCGCCACGGCAGCTCCGCCGTATCGTCCCGTAGCGGGGGCAATAATGACCACCTCACCAGGCTTCACATCCACCTCGGACAATCCCCCAAATGGTACTAGACAAACGGGCATTAAGCAGAGGTCCGATATGGAGTAACCCATTTCGTGGATGAGCAAGGTCTCGTTCAGGGCGAATACATTCTCCAAGGGGAAGCGAGTATATTCTGCATACGTTGCATTTCGCCACGGCCCATCCATGAGCTTTTGAGCAGCTGGATCTTTGCCGCCGTGGACTCCGAACAGGATAGATACTGAGGGATTGTCTCGTGCCCGGACGGTGATGTCACAGAAGACTAGTTGACCGGGTTTTAGCTCCACAGCGTCTGGACCAACTTCGTGCACCCTGCCAATCGCGGTGTTGCCGGGGGTCATTGGCAGGGGCATCGGGTATTGTCTCGAGCCATTCAGGACTTGCGACATGTAGGGGACAATGTCTGCAGCCAGGATGCGGACGACTACCTCACCAGTGTGGGCGACTGGGCGTGGGACAGTCTCAAGGGAAAGCGGTGCATCGTGAGAATGGAGGATGAGAGCTTTGTGAGTCGCCATGATGGAAGAATGGATTGGATTGGTTTAGATGGCTTCGCAGTGACAAGAAATGGTAACTGATTATATACCACGTTCAAGTTCCCATAACTCCGATTAAATGCGTACTTAGGTCCGTAAGCCCCGGGGGATAAGTCCTTGGAAACTCCCACAGTCTATAATAGTGGATCTAGAGGTGCGGCGGGTGCGGGTGCGGGTGCGGACTTGGTGGCGAGTTACGGGCAAATGGTGATAACCCCAAGTTTCCAGGAACATATTGTTAGAATCAACCCAGTCGTGTTTTTCTATTTTAACCTAAATATTAATCTGGTGACTATTACCCAACAATTGATACGTACGAGTACGTATATCCAAGGAAACAACCACACGCCCCCGTCACACACTCTATCTCCCTGACTGACTGTTAACCCTCAAGCCCTAACTAACTCGACTCATCAAGCCTTCTCCCCCTTCCCCTTCCCCTTCCCCCTCCCATAATCCAACTTCCCCCACTGCATAACCAACCCGCAAACCAAACAAATCGCCCCGCCAGCGACAACCAAATAAAACTCCCTACCAAGAACATCCGCCACAGCCGCAACCCCCTTCGCCACAACGCGCTCGTCCCCTGACTCCCAAACCGCAGACGACACACCTGCCAACGCCTCCCTAAGCTCATGCTCGGAGTACCCTTCCCCCCCAATCGCCTCTGTCAGCAATCGGTAGCCCACATTCTGAAAGATAGACCCCGCGACCGCAAGAATAATCGCAATACCCCCAAACTGTGCCATATTGAACAAAACCGCACTATCAACTCGGTCCTTGGGATCCTTGTTGATCACATTTGAGATCCCGACGCCATGCTGGAATGAACAGCCCAGTCCGATTCCAATCAGGGCTTCGAGACCGAGGACTTGGGATTCGGAGACGGTGGGGGTAAGGCTTGCGGCCATTGCGGCGCCGGCGGCGACTGTGACCATGCCGGCCAGGATGTAGATGAGGTTGTAGCGGCCAAAGATGGGGAGGAGGCCGCCGACGACCACGACTACTGCGATGAAGACGAGGACGAAGGGGAGAAGGCGGACGGTTTGTTGGAGGGCGGTGTGGCCGCGGGCGAAGGCGAAGAAGAGGGGAGTGTAGTAGAGGGTTACGGCGTAGGAGGCGCCAGCGCAGCCGGATGCTATCCAGAGGGGGAGGAGGTCGGTGCGGGTGAGGAGGTGGACGGGGATGGCGCGTTGGTTGGGCGTTGTTCCGATGCAGTAGTACTGTTGGAGGATCCAGGCAATCAGGATGGCCCCGAACACTACCCAGACGGCGATTGAGGCACCGGAGCCCCAGGCCCAGACGGGACCGGAAAATTCTAATGCCAGGGCGAAGAGAACGGGAGCGGCCATGTTTAAAGCAATGCCGATTGGGTCGATGCTGGTGAGTCGGGCGGTTAGGGGGATGTCGGGGCCGAGGTACTTGCTAGGTATGCAGAGGATGGCGATGGCGAGGCCCAGTCCGACCCACGGGAGGTTCATGTAAAATGCCCAGCGCCAGGTGGTGTGGCTGTTTTCCGCGAGCGCGGACCCGATGGGACCTCCGATTACTAGGCCTACGGCCCATAATGCGCTCAAGAGGCCGAAGAGACGGGGGGTTTCTGCTGGGGTGGCGAACACGGCCACGAAGGTCAGGTTGCTGTGTGGTGTTTAGCTCATATAGGCTTGAGAAGAGACATAGGATGTAACGTACCACTGGTATACGACTGCACCGCCGACACCCATTATCACACGCCCGACAATGACAGATGGGAGATTTGGAGCCGCTCCAGCTACGGCAGCCCCGGCCATGAAGACAACAATATTCGAGATGTAGATCCATCGCATGTCGAAGCAGTACAAGATCTTCCGGGAGAAGGATAGGACAGCAAAGACGGCCAAGCTGAATGAAAGTCCTATCCATGGGAGGAGTGTAATGCTGCCGAAAGCTTCGTACAGACGTGGCTGAATGTTGGCAACATTGCTCACATCATAGCCTAAACAAGAATGAGAGCTCTGAGATGTACGTAGGAACTAGGATGACAAACCATTTATGACCGTCGTGAGCATCACCACCCCGATACTACCTCTCCATTTCCAGGCCGGTATGTTGCTGCGGCGCTGGTCAGATCCTGTAATCGAGCTTTCAAGTGGAGTCTCCTTTGGGGAGGGTCCCTTCATAGAGCCGTTGCTGGAGGACGTATCTGTCATGGTAACTAGGAAATATCTAGATATGAAAATGCAGAGACGCGGACGGGTCAAGTAAAAGTTAAGAAATTTTGTATGAACAATATACACGCTTATTTTCTAGTGCTGATAACAGCCTCGTTCAACGCTAAGAAACGGATCCAAGTAGACATAATGCATATTCTTACGTTGGCGGTGCTGAGAAGAGATGGCCACTGGAGTTATCGATTGGCGTCAGCATCTACATACCTTCTGTCCATGCATGGAAACTGGCAGTCCATGCAGCGCCAAGATTCCTCTCTTCGCCGTCGATCTTCATTCACGTAGTTTCCTTCCTGCGCAGACGGCTACGGAGCGCTTGTCAATAGCTGAGAAAGAGCCTCTAGAGAATGGGGCCCCAATTACAACAGACATTATCCGAAGATGTCGACGTTCCAATCCCATTCCATAGCACATTCCTGGAACTTTGGACCCCACGTAGGAATCTGACCTGTAACTAAGACTTGATATAAGTCTTACATAAGACGGAACAGCACAAACCCTTTGCATTTTAGGGCCCGCTAATATCGTCTAGTCAAGGTGAAAAATATTGGTTTTTCACCGACTAATCCGTGATTAATGTTGCAGATTATTCAGATATAAATAGCGATATCACCATGGATCCGCCTTATGCCCATCCGAAATGACCAATGGTAAGGAAACCTCGATTTTCCGACCTTATCATATGGCCGGTATGGCAAGGGTGGGGCAGTCAAAGCCCTAAGTATCCTTGAGTGTGAAATCATGGCTGCTAGTTTAAGCTTGTGCACAGCTCGCACAACAGTCACTGAAAGCCGTCTTGGTTGGGTCTTCCAGTCTGTTCGCATTTTTGGCCGTGTAACATGGTTCTCTACAGCAATAAAGTTTTTAGGCATAAATCCGCCCCCGGCAACTGACGACAACCAACACATAGTGAAAAGGTTGAGGAAGTATGAGTGGGTAGCAGTCAAACTGTTGTAGTACTGATATGCTCTCATATGCCAGCAATAATGCTAAAACACGAAGAACTCGGTGGAACTTGGCGCCTTTGGACACTGCCCATATTTTAATCTCTCATGCACAGCCAAAACGCCGAGGCTTCCCCGATACGCCAAGCAGCAACGAGAAACGGTTAACCGCCGCCTTATCAGGAAGTATGCAGCGCATATGTAGATCAACATGCACTTGAACTAATGATAGTGTGCTGCTGCGCCATTCTATCGTGACAACCACATCAGTGATAAATCCCTGCTGGGTGTTAAGTCATGGACGTTCAGGTACGTACTAAAGTAGGCTCGTAGAGCATCATGGCTGATTGAACATATGCACCTATACCATGTGGTCCCGGTCATCTTATTCTTACTAGATCAATGGCATTTACTACTAATCACGCAGACAACATTACCCCTCTTCGCCCCTCCAGCATCAGACGGAGCCAGAGACTGGCTGGGACAAGGTTTTCAGGTGCTCCGCCATTATCATCGGACGCTTATGGATGTCAGAGGATATTTTGCCAGACGCTAAATATAGCATCATTCGCGACATGTGTTGCATTATGTACTGATCCTTCAAGAGCCGGTCGTACATGTCGAGATTCGTTTCTGTTCCGTAGAATTATGCTGTAACTTTCACACTATTTCCGCACTAATTTATTGTTCTCCTACTGAACGGGGGGGTGTAGGGCCTCGAGGACCTTTGTATGTCATTGTCTATATAACAGGTCTCACCTACCACCTAAGGTCTTTCTAGCTAAGCACCTGCGGCAGTTTGAACGTTGTTCCACTTACTGAAATATTTCTACGTGTTCTCGGATTAACATCAAGGGTGTTATCTTCCCGTACAATCCCAACGGGCGCGGATCTTGCAGATGTGCATTTAATCCTGTAACACAACATATACATGATATCAATCATCGTATCCCATCCTTGATAGTCATGGGCCTTTCACCTCGCACAGCCCTGATGGAAACGTGGGTCATTCCCGCGCTGGCACTTGGTATTGTGGTGCGTCTACTCTCCTCGCTATATTTGATCTGTCGACATGCACACAAAGCTCGCAGTCTTGACTGCCAGGAGGCCCCGTTATACTCTGGCGGAGACCCTTTCGGCATTTCCACCCTGTTCGAGGCACTACACGCCGATCGAGACAAGGTGCTTCCCGAGCTAGCGCAGAAGCGGTTCGATCTCCTTTCTACTCAGCACAGTAGACTTGTTTCCACCTTTCGTGTGCGCCAGGCTGGCCGGCAGAACTACTTCACGGCGGATCCAAAAAATATCCAGGCCATGTTGGCGACGCAGTTCCATGAGTTTGGCTTAGGTGACATGCGTCGCAAAGTAGCCGACCCTGTGGTGGGTCGTGGTATCGTTAGTGACTCTCTGTTCATCACCCTGCCGTGGCTACGATTTACTGACTTGCAATGCCTGTAACTATAGTTCACATCCGATGGCCAGGCATGGTCCCACTCTAGAGCCTTACTACGACCTCAATTTACGCGGATGCAGATCAGTAACCTTGATATGGAGGAACGTCATGTGCAGAATGCATTTCGAGCCATTCCCGTCCAGTCCGATGGATGGACATCCGAGGTCGATATACAAACCATCTTCTTCCGTCTCACCCTCGACTCGGCTACGGAATTTCTCTTTGGCAAAAGCTGCGAGAGCCAGATCACCGCCTTAACACAGGGCGCCGACAAGGAGCCGGATCGGTTTCTAAACGGCTTCGACCGGTGTACATGGTACCTAGCCGCAAGACTCCGATTTGAAAGGCTATACTGGGTAGTGAACAACCAGGACTTCCGGGACAGCATCGGCGTGGTCCATGAGTTCGTCGATCATTATGTCCACGAAGCCCTGAAGCGAGCGCAACAAACAGAGAAACCCAGTGATTTAGAAAGCCCATCACAATATGTCTTTCTAGACGCGCTCACCTCCACCACGAAGGACCCCATTGAGCTACGCGATGAGTCACTGAACGTCCTTCTGGCAGGGCGGGATACATCAGCTTCTCTTCTGAGCTGGACTGTCCTGCTTCTCGCCCGTCACCCAGGCATGTTCAACAAGCTCCGAGAGGACATCATCGAGCAATTCGGTACCTACAGTAATCCATACGAGATTACATTTGCATCGCTAAAGTCCTGCCAATACCTCCAGCACTTCATCAACGAGACCCTACGTTTGTATCCAGTAGTGCCCTTCAACCGCCGATGTGCGCTTAGGGATACAACGATTCCCAGAGGCGGCGGCAAGGATGGCAACTCCCCCATCTACCTGAAAAAGGGTCAGCCGGTTCTGTTCAGTAGCTATGTCCTGCAACGCCGGAAGGACATCTGGGGAGAAGATGCCGAAGAGTTCAAGCCTGAGCGGTGGTCCGGCCGAAAGGTGACCTGGGAATACATCCCATTCAGTGGTGGACCGAGGACCTGTATCGGTCAACAATTTGCACTTATAAAAGTCAGCTACGTATTGGTCCGTCTATTGCAGCGATTTGATTCTATCCAAGATGTAAATGCTAACCGGCAAATTCGGTATGGTGTTACTCTAACAAGCTGTCCGGCTGATCCGGTTACTGTGAGGATGCACGAGGCTGAGCTTTAGGTCTGTGCGGTATGATGGGAACACATCCTGCAATGGCTGTGGATAGAGGGTTGAGGAGTTGGTTTTTATGATTGCTTTGTAGGCTATTTTGCTTTTCTCGTTGTATCATGGATGGTTTCTTTGTTCTTATGTATATAGTCATCTCTTCCCTTCTCTACACAGCTATGTTTTCTCCTGTTCCAAGGGCTTCTGTTCGTTCTGTAGCATACCTTCATAGGGCTGGTGTTGGTGATATATGGATTCGGCATATCTAAGGGAGAGGTTATTCTGCCAAAATAGTTGCATTTATCATAGGTATACGGGTTGCACAAGCGAGATGTCAGACAGCAATAACAATGTGTTCTTGGTAAAAAGCTCACTACCATACAGTGTGGTGAAGCAATGCCCTCGTATCAACCGTACGCCCGGCAAGATGGTTGAAGGGGGGGG